TAACATATCTTATTAAATGCATTTGAACATGTTGAGTTTCATGCCTGCAGCATCGCGCTGCAGACTTATTCCTTCGGTTGTTCTCGTCTTCGACGGACAACGATGGTGGTTGAAAGGGATTTGGGTCGAGTGTTTCGACAAGAATCACAAGGTATCTCCTTTATACTGCCTTCGGGGTAATTCCCCATCACAACCTCAATGACAAAAGATGTTGGAGATGCGTGCCATCATCATCACTAACGGCCAGAGTCATAGGAGGTGGCATGGGATCACATCCCTCACGACTCAACGATGCAGAGCGGCGACGACCAAGTTTTGGAAAGAAGAAGACATGTCAAACGACATAGCGTGCAACCATTTAAACGACTGGCGCAGCTTGGCAGCTCAGACGCTGGTGCGGCTTCAAGCCGCGACTTCCGTGATTTAGGGTTTTGAAATCCCTTAATTTGTATCTTCTTTTTTGATATACCTGTTAGAGTATATAAGGCAGTTAGGAATGTGATTGTTAGAATAATTAGTTAGGATTGTTGGTAAGGGAGTGAGTGGTTAAGGTGGTTGGCCTAGCACTCATCTATATAGTAAGCATACCATTGTAACCATCGAATTAATCAAGGAAATATCAGTGCAATTCTTTCTTTCTTCCTCTCTAAATTCTCTCTGATTCCTTCTTCTTTTTCCTCTGTGATCTCTCTGTTTCTCCTTCTGCATATTGCTTAACATGGTATCATCGCCTCACATAGACCTGGCGCTTCCGCACCTCAATCAAAGCATTTCTTTCTCTTCTTTACCCTCTAGTTTGCAATCTGTTGTGTGATAAACAAAACAATTGGCTTCTTCCGATCTCCATGAATCTTCAAGAAATTGTTCTTCGTTTCTGCATACCAACTGTTCGATAGATTGTCTCAGTGAAAGAATTCTATACAACATCAACAATGGTGACTACTGATCAGTTAAAGATCGTTCAATCTCCGATCACTGGAAGATATTGACCAGAAGATATTGGGTATGTCTTCTCTGTTTTTCTGGGCATCTCCGATTGCCCATTTCTGCATTCTACATTCAACAAAGTTGTGCACACAAGGTGTTTGCTCTTTGTTCTCAAAGAAAACTATCAACTAGTTTGATTTGTCAGCAACAAATTTGGGGTTTCTCTTCTAAATCTCTATCTGGGTTGTTCATTTCTACAACAAAAGTTATGGTTACCGCTGCACAATTGCAACTTTTGCACTCCCCAATTGTATCGTTGATTCCGTCAGTTTCTTCCTCTACTTGTGTAAAATTAGATGAGACTAACTACTTGCAGTGGCATTTTCTGATGAAGATGATGCTACAAGGTCATGGCATTATGGGATTCATTGATGGATCGAATCCTTGTCCTCCTCAGGATGTGGCAACATCTACACATTCTGTAATCACATCTGAATCATCTGCCAGACTAGAATTAGATGAATTTAAAGTGTGGAAAATGCATGATCATGCTTTGATGTTGTTACTTACTGCAACCCTTTCTTCATCTGCAATTTCTTGTGTGATTGGTAGCAAGAGTTCTCAAGAGATGTGGGTTCGTCTTCAAGATGAATTTTTCTTACCAGTCACAAGAACTAGTATCATCAAGTTAAAGACTGATATGTACAACATGAAGAAAGGATCCGATTCTGTTTCCCAATATCTTCGACGGCTTAAAGAAGCAAGGGATGGACTTTCTATTCTTGGTGTTACATTTCCTAATGAAGACTTTGTGGTCTTTGCGCTGAATGGACTCCCTCCAAAATACAACACATTTAAATGTGTACTCAGAGGGCGTGAGAATATCATTTCACTCAAGGACTTTCGTGCACAATTGCTTGCTGAGGAAACCATTGTGGATTGTTCTGCTGATTGGAATCCAGATTTTACCTTCATTTCTGCACAAGAGAAGTAGGAGGAAGAGATGACGTTTGATGCTTCACAGACAGGGGATCTTGGTGGAATACATCATAGTGACAGCAATGGCCTGGCTCCCTCTGCACGAAATCTTGGATTTCTTGGCCATGCTTTAAAACATTCACATGGATTTCGTCATGACTGCTCCCGGCTGCACCAAGTGCAGGGTACGAAGAATGAAGAGGCCGATCCAAGTAAGAGGGATCTGGATGCACAACAGATAATTGCTATGGCAGGACGGCAGTCAATTTATGGTCATAACAAGGATGGTGAACTGAATTCTCCATCAGCTCACAAGTTATCGCCACTTGGAAATTCCAATGCAACAAATTTCCTGACGGATGTAAGAGAAGGTCTAAGTGTAAAAACTTCTTCACAATCTGCCTTCCAAGCCCAAGGCATGGTTGCATTTGGTGAAAGTGATTCTCAGAGTCCATCTATTGGCAATAATGTGTTACCTAATTATTACAGAAACTTCTCAGAAAGAAGCTTCAAGGAACAAGAACAAGAAGAAGAACTGGACCAAGAACAAGAACAACAGTTGGATTTGATGAACTATCACAGTTTGTCCCGAACAAGGTATGTGGAGGAAAAGACAGCAGTTGAAGATGAGAAGGTGGTTAATAACAAGGAACAAACTTCTGTATCATCATTTGATTTGTCCAGTAGCCAAGGTAAGAAGAAATCTGGTGGCGAAGGTAAAGAACAAGATCACTATGCACTGTTAGGTTTGAGTCATTTAAGATCCTTTGCAATCGAGGAGTAACTACCTAGTTCTGTTGGTGCAGAAAGTTCACACATTAGCAGATCACATACCATTTGTTCGCAGAAATATCATTTTGATGCTGACAACAAGACGAAAATTGGTGTTTCTACTCAAATTGTTGTACATGAGTTCCGGAGATTTTATGTACTTCAGTCATGCAATGGTGGATGTATATTTGATATTCAGTTAAGCTACCATATGCGAATTTCTGATAAGGGTGGGGGCACCGAGTCTACGCTGATTTGGGTACTATGGTATACACGGTATAATGGTAACATACGAGCTCCAGATGCTAGGAGGTTTCTTTTTTCAGGGTATGCGTGCAGCAGTGACCAGATCCTATACTCTCCAATTGTAACAATCTCATGCTTGAACCACCATGAGCTTGCGGGGGGATGTTAGAGTATATAAGGCAGTTAGGAATGTGATTGTTAGAATAATTAGTTAGGATTGTTGGTAAGGGAGTGAGTAGGTTAAGGTGGTTGGCCTAGCACTCATCTATATAGTAAGCATACCATTGTAACCATCGAATTAATCAAGGAAATATCAGTGCAATTCTTTCTTTCTTCCTCTCTAAATTCTCTCTGATTCCTTCTTCTTTTTCCTCTGTGATCTCTCTGTTTCTCCTTCTGCATATTGCTTAACAATACCCACCCATATATTCATCAACGTTGATATGACATGCATATTACACAAAACAATAATCATATTATTCATGGGATATATTAAATTGAAACCAAATAGATTATGGTTTAAGATTACTTGGATGTTGATGAAGATGGTGAAAAGGTTTAGTCTTCTTCCAAGACCTTCTCTTTTTCGCAAAAACACATCATGCTGATAATGTGTTGTGAAACTAATTTTAAAAGTGGGTGAGAGAGAGAGGAGACGACTAAGAGAGAATGGCTCATGAGAATTGTGCCCTCACTTGTTGACCTTGTACTTTTATTTGTACTAATCATGATCAGTTTTTTTTTTAATTTTTTAATTTTTTTTTGTCTTACAAGTAATACTAACCTTTGAGGATTGGATCTTCATATCCTATTAGAATTTTATTTTAAGTGTACAAAATCACGTTTGTCATTGATAATTCTATACATAACACATCCATGTCTTTTTGTTTGGCTTACTATCCAATATCGGACTCCAAGTCAACAGTGGCTATGCTTAAAGAGCATTGTGCTGGGTTCATCGTCAAGGAGTTGGATGCCGGTGTGTAAAATATTTCCATTGTTGTATACTGTGTTTATGCTCAAAAGTTTCATACAAGTTTATTCCTTTCATTGTTCTCGAAATTAGGTCATTGCCCGCACGACGAACTGCCCGATGAAGTGAATTCAATTATTCGTGAATGGATAGTGAACCAGAGGAGTAAACTTCCGGCTGTTAGCTTCAAGTAGTTTATGTAAATGATCTGTACCGTTAATTCTTTTTTATCCTTGTCAAAATTCAAATGCAAGTTTTTTGAAATCAAATGGCTTGATTGATTATTCAGTATATGCTACAAAATCCATGTTGATATGTAAGAAGGAAACATGGTACTCCAACATTGCCCGAGCAACGCCAGCGCAAAATCCCTACGGCTGTTAGGGCGGCTATGTTTGACATTGTTTCCTATAAGAGGATCACTCCAACATTGCACTTTCATTCCTTGTGTTGCTGTTTAGTTGACTAGTTCTTCAGAACTCAATGTTCACGACAGCGGCTGTTCACTGTACCTCCTCTCCCAACTTCATTTCATCGCAAAGACAGGTGATATCAGGAGCTATTCCTCCATTACAATCCCTCAAAATCCCATCACCTACAAGACCGTTTAACAACCGCGGATCCTGTCGTTAACGACAGCGGATCCTCGTGACACAGCTTCTGCCATATCGTTGCGGCAAAACATCTGGTGTACAAGTAGCTATAACAACCTGCAATAATGTTCAAATTCTTGATTTGAGGTACTTCTGAACCTCAAAGACGTTCAAATGGAGTTACATTAAAAGCATCACGTCAAATATATTCAAGTTCAACCGCGTCATCGTATAAAACGGATGATAGGAAAATAACATACTCAAAAAGGTTTGAAGGTGTTTCCGCTGGATCAAAAATACCCTCGTCCCTCGAAAGTGTTGGTAATCCTGCCGAAAATTCGAAAAAAAGTGGCATTTTGAATTTATGATAAGGAAGAGGAAGTGCTATAGCTTGTACTTTTGTTTGTTTTTTGAAGATATTTTCATGCAGCATGGAGTTGAAGATAATTTCACAAATATATATAAAGCACGTATATAATATATATATATATATATACACACACACACACTTATTTTCAGTCAGTTACATCTATTCCATTGTGATTTCTGATAAACAACCCTGAAAGCTAGAACCAACATGCCCATGACAACCACAGCATTCCTTCATGTAGCTTGTACAGCACCCACCGACTTCTCTTTTCTCCAACACACAAGCATGAATTGCTACTAATTCTGAGCAACATGCTTCCTTTTCCGCTGTCCGGGAGCCAATGCAAGAATTCGTTGCGGCTGATTCTGTGCGGTTGCAACCCGCTACAATATCAATCGTCGTGTGATGAGGGGGTGATTGTTTGTCTTGATTATGGTGGGGCTGATGATCACATCTTGTGGCAAACGTTTCTCCTAACGATTCATTGTGAATATGATCTTTGCCACATTGAGTTGAGTGGCAATGACCAGTACTTGTCAACTTTCTGCTTTCCTCCAAGGAAAAAGTAGAATGGTTGCAGTGTTTTGGCTCATGGATTGCATCATCTTCGTTTCTAACATGCTCCTTTCCACAGTCGCTTGAGTGGCAATGAACACTACTTGTCAATTTTTCGCTTTCGTGCAAAGCAAAAGCAGAATAATTGCAGTGTTTTTCCTCATGGACTCCATCACCTTCATTTCTGCTGTGCTCTTTGCCGCAGTGGGTCGTGTGGCAATGACCTTTACTTGTCAACTTTTGAATTTCCACCAAAGGAGAAGCAGAATGATTGCAGTGTTTTTCCTCGTGAAGTTTATCACCTTCTGCGCATGAGCTGAAATTATGATGCCTCAAACAACCATGATTGTGTTTATTCTGTGACTCGAGATCATGACTGACTTTGATGCAGCTTGTTTCATCACAGTGTCGTGCCTCGTGTAAGTCATCACTGCACTTAAGCTTACAAGGAAAGCTTGAATTTAAGGGACTAGGATGGCACTCTGATCCGCATTTCTGCGAGGAACACTTTTGAGGTTTACAGACTTTTACGGGTATGCTGTCCGAGCAACAATGTTGGTTTTTGTGAGAATGGCTATGTCCATGGCTTCCATGTTTATGGCCATGTCCATGGCTTCCATGTTTATGGCCATGTCCATGGCTTCCATGTTTATGGCCATGTGGTGCAGAAGTTTTCCCTCCATGCTTGTTGGTTCCTTGTAAGAGTAGCATGCTGTTGAATATCACAAGCAAGCATGTCCCGGCATCAGCAAGAACTGCAGCCCAAACAAGCGGATGCCCTGCAAATCCCAGTGCAAGGATACTAGCCTTAGCAGTGATTGACAAAGCCACATTCTCAATCACTTTTCTATTAGCTCTTCTCGCAAGTTGGACTGCTTTCGGTAGTTTCCTAATGTCATTTGACAGTAAAATTATATTCCCAGTTTCTTGAGCAAGGGCTGATCCTGAAATGCCCATTGAGATACCAATATCGGCAGTAGCTAAAGCAGGGGCATCATTGATCCCGTCTCCAACCATTGCTGTGTTTCCTTCCATTTTAAATTCTCTAATGATTCTTGCCTTGTCTTCAGGTAGAAGTTCTGCCTGGACTACCTCGAGAGCTTGCTTAAGCTGCAAGTCAGATAAATTTTCTACTCTTATTTGTTCTTTTTTTTTTTCTTTCTTAATCTGCAAGGAAAATATATATGCAGTTCTACAGCCATGTATACCAGGGAAGATCATACATTGAATCAATAAAAGTGAGTGGAGAGTGGAGCGCATGGTATGTGCGCGCAGATTTAAGCATAGCGATATGAGGCTAAGATATTAGGAATAACACACCTGCTCATTTGTATGCAATGCGGCAGCATTACTATCTCCTGTGAGCATAGCTGTTTTAATGCCTAACTTCTTTAGTTCCTTGAGAGCCTCTGCAGCCCCAGATCGACAAGCATCAGATATCATAAAGACTCCAGCAGGGGCTCCCCCAGAGTATATGTATCCAATCGTCTTCCCACCTTTCGAACCTTCAATTGTTGGAACTGAAATTTCAAAAAGATTTAGCGATGAGAGATCCAAAAAGACCATAAACAAAAAGAAAATGAATCATAATCCTTGAAATCATTCGAAATAGCTTCGAAGATACAGGAGTTGATGGCATTTACCTATTTCACAAGCAGCTCTCAAAGCTATTTTTCTGTTTCCAATGTAGATATCTTGTCCATCAATTTTCCCATGAATACCTTCGCCGGGAAAATTTTGAAACTCCTCCACATTCTCAGGGTTTGGCTCGACCGAAAACAATCTTCCATAGTCAACCAGCGCATCTGCCATTGGATGACTTGACTTCCTCTCAATGCTTGAAACCCTTCATGAAGATTAATAGAGAAATCAACGAACTGCAAACTTAGTGAAATAATAGGAAACGCTTTCGGAGAATAATGCAGCATTAAAACAGCCTTAAATTTGTCTTTAAACTAAAAGCCTCTTTCTGAATTTCATGAAGTAAATTTTTTCTTTCCATCAAAATTTTTGTGTGTTTCATTCAACATGTTGCTGAATAGAGGAGTTGCAGTCTATACCAGTAAAGCAATGTGTTCAAGCTAATGTCATCACGAAGAGATTGAAAATCCATCACCACAAATTCACCCCTTGTTATTGTACCAGTTTTGTCAAAAGCCATGATCTTGACTTTAGCAAGTATCTCAATGTAGTCACCTCCTTTGATCAGAAGTCCAGATGTTGCCGCTTTTGTGAGCGTGCAGAAAGTCACAACGGGTGTAGAGAGGATGAGACCGCACGGACAGGCGCTCACTAAAACAACCAAAGCTAAGTGAAACCACTTTCTCCAATTGTGAACATGTAATGCAGCTGGAATCACCGCGATAGAAACAGAAATGACCAGGACCGCTGCAAAACAGCGCCACAAAAAACGTATAAATCCAACCGTTTGCATTCTCCTTAGTAGTAAAGAATAGGGAAACATATGAAATGTATGGGGAAAGTAGACTAACCTGGGGTATAGAACATTGCACATTTGTCAATGAATCTTTGAGTTCTGGATTTGCTGTTTTGAGCCTCTTCGATGAGTTTTGCCATTTTGGCGACCGCACAATCTTCAGCCAATGATGTAGTTTTCACGCTAATATAACCTTCACAATTGAAACCAAATTTTGTCAGAAATGAAAACATAACTCTTTCTTCAAAATCAAAGAATGACGGGAGCGACATTTATGTTACCATTAAGATTGATAGTGCCTGCCCAAACAGTGGAGTCCTTTTCTTTGGCAACTGGATAGGATTCTCCAGTTAGTGTTTTCTCATCGACTTCAGCTTTTCCTTCAACAACTATTCCATCAATCGGTATCTTTTCGCCGGCCTTAACAGCAAGAATTGTGTTCAACTTTACCTCATCAACACCCACAACTTCTCCACTCTCTGCTAAGACTGCTATTTGGGGGGCCATGCTCATCAACGACGACATCACTGCTTTTGCCTGAGTAGATAAAAGCATGTTATTCTACATGTCTGACTGTTTATGATATACATTACCAAGTCATTCGTTAATCCCTTAAACAACATTTTAATGTATTAGTATCAGTGTTTTGAAAAACAAGCCTTGAGGCGCACCTAGGCAGCTTTGGAGACAAGGCGGTGATGAAAATGCCTCTGCCCAACGGGAATAGGCTTAAACTCGCCTAGATGTGATCGAGGCATGCCTAGGCAGCTGCAGAGTTGACTGGGTTTTTTTTTTTCTTTTCTTTTTTAAAAGAAAAAAAAATGCCAAAGTTCAAGTTCAACTAGACTCCATGACATACCCTCTAAGTTCAAGTTCAACAAGACCATATGACATACCTTCCAACTAGACTATATATTAATAATTATAGGTCCCATGAGTCGCCTCAATATCAAGGCTTTCGCCTAGGAAGGGCTTCACTTTCGTCTTTTAAAGCATTGGTTAGTATGTGGTTTATCACAAAATTATGTACAAAACTGTCTTCAGCAAAATTTGTTGTTCCAAAATCAATTGCTATGTTTTTCTGCCACTTATCGTTACTTGTATTTTGTTTAATTCAATGAGATTAGTTCTTAATTTTTTCATAAAAAAAGAAGGATGAGTGTTTTATGCTAACCCTGTAACCTGCAGAAGACTGGAGCCACTCTGCAATGGTGAACAGAAAGACAATCGAGGCAGCTTCTGTATAGTCCTTCAAAGCAATTGTCCCAATTACTGTCAAAAGTTACACCAAATGGATTTACATAAATATACAAACATGCGCAAATAAGTAACTTCTGTATCATGTGTGCTGTTTTGCAATAGAGTAGATAAGTGGTAACAAAATTTTGGAGTGTAGAAAATATAATTTGACAAGTAATTTTAAAGTGGAACAGATGATTGTATCACATTAAGTATTATTCTCGTGATAGATGATTGACTGACAGTCATGTGTACAGTGTACCTCAATGTTTATAAGATAATTTCATATAACTAACGCAACATCATGCAGTAGAGTTTCTACCAATTTAGAAAACCAAAATTGTGGAGAATGAAATGAAAAAATAAGTTGAATATTAAGACAAAGTATTGACTCACCGGCAATGATAACAAGAATGTTGATGTCATGAAACCTGAAATTCCGAATAGCCGCAAAACATTTCAAAGCAACGGGGAAAATGCCAACGGCCACGGCTCCAAGGGCCAACCACCCTAATGGCCGATATGCGTACTTGAGAAATGATAGAACCAGTAACACGCCACTACCAATTGCATATGGACTTGGCCACGTTTTCTTGTAAATGTCCCCTGCCCCATACACTCTCACATTTGCTTCTAGCCTTGCTTGGTTTAGTGCCTTAACTGTCCATGAAATAACAGATCAAAAGGGCAATTTCCTCAAGGAAAAATAAATTTGTTTATGTTGCCCTATCAGTTTTTCGATATCCATTCATGTGAGTTTGCTGTCGTATTAATTTTCCTTCAATTTTCAATGTTTCTAAATGTTATCTGATGGGGCAAATCAAAAGAACTTTATCCTTATAAGTAATAATGGAGTTTGAAAAACTTGTGCATTTGTATTAAGATAAAAGAGTGTGTGAGAGGCCGACTAAATGGACTGAGCATACTTTATTTTATTTTCGAATAAATAGCTTGAGCTTTTTTATTTTAAGAAAACTAATGTGCTTTTCCTCATAGTCAAGGAGTCTCAAGATTCACACCGAAGGGGTGTAAAACTATTTAGTATTATATAGTGTAAGGTGAAACGTACAACGCTTCCAAAAAAAGAAAGAAAAAAAAAGGTGAAACGTACAATGAATTAGCTACAACTGAAACCTATTTTTAAGTATATTATAGTGGGTGATGAAAAGGAAAGCAAAATAGTACGTGAAAGTTGGGTAAAGAAAAACATATAAGGCATGCTCGTCTCTATCTTTTTGGGAACCGGATTCTCTCTGGATCCATATATATTGAATATGCTGAGCAGGCGATCTGCACTGTTAAAATTTGATCCAACGACTACAAACAGAGTATTCTCTAAAAATTATAATAGTTGTAGCCGTTGAATTAAATTTCAACGGTCCAGATCGCCTGCTCAGCAGCCTCAATATATATATGGATCATGACAGGATCCGGTTCCATCTTTTTGGTTCATAATGGTACAAACAGAGGACCCTCTAAAAATTAAAATAGTTGTAGTCGTTGAATTAAATTTTAACAGTCCAGATCGTCTACTCAGCAGACTCAATATATATATGGATCAGGAAATGATCCGGTTCGATTTTTTTGGTTCATAATGGGACACGATATGCCGATTAATAATTCTCCCACAACAGAAAAAGTACACGTCCACCTACTGCTATCGTTCTTTTTTTTTCTTTTTCCCAAAACTATTTGCTTTCTGTTGTGCAACTATTAAGAAAAAAATAACCAATTTTTAGCGCAAATATTAGAGAATTAAGGGGAAACACTAATATTAACTGGCGTAAAATTATTTAAGAGAATATATTACCGATTTGAAGCTGGGAAATGAGAAGGCTATCATGGACAACAATGACAGTTCTGGAAGGCACAATCACTGAAACCGATTTCACACCTTCAAGAGGCTTGAGGATATTCTCTATCAGAGGAACTTCTGATGCGCAGCACAACCCCAACACATCAAAGTAGCTCTTCTGAAACTTTATGGCTGCTGGCTTTTCTTTTCCCTGGACAGAAGCCATCCTGCTTAATTATCTCTCAACTTCTGCAAATACACAGGACACATGAAAAATTACTAATTTTATGTTGGTATACAAACTTTGTGTCTGATTTGTGAAGAGTAGAGTTATGAAAATTATTTGGTCAGAAGTTCGTGTGTGTGTGATACAGGTGTACCGAGGGTCTCGAGGAGACGAAGAATAGGAGACTTGAGAATTACTTAACCAGGGGCAACTCATCTCCGTCGACAATACTAATCGTGAATTCACTCGATATGACCAAGGTAAATGCTTAAAGAAAATCACCTTGTAGGTAAGGGGGAGCTCTGGGGATTTTTCAAGCTTAATTCAGAGAGAGAGAGAGAGAGAGAGAGTAATAGGGTCTGAAAGCTTTAAGTAGATGAAGTTGTGAGAACTATACCTATAAGAAGGGAAGGATTATAACTTATAGAGGGACATGTACATAAAGAATATCTTAAATTAATGAAGTAATCTCCTAACAAAACAACTTTCTTTGGTTGGAATAATTGGTTAACCAGATGGAGGGAAAAAGAATGGAATCCACATCAAAGCTTGTTTTATAGCATCTGTGGTTAACCTGATGAGATGGCCATTCAAACTGATTTAGCAAGTAAACCCTCAACGGCAAGTAATGTAGTAAGCTAATGTTGTATTATAACTTATTTAGCAAGTACACCCTCAACGGCAAGTAACGGCAAGTAATGTAGTAAGCTAATGTTGTATTATAACTGATTTAGTAAGTTTCTACAGGTAACATTGGTTGTTAGAGGAGTTGTGCGAGCTTGTATTCGGAGGATCGAATTTACGACGTGTGAAATTATTCATCCTCAGGAAATTACTACTTGCTTATCGAGACAACAAATGTGAGGTCGATATTGCAGGCTGTAGACTGTGATATCGATAGCTTATTTGTTGGGTTCATTAAGCAAGTGGGCGGGAAGATTCGTTGACAGCAGCTGACGCAGATTCGGAATTGTTATTCTTGGGACTCGACCCAAAGACACATCTGTTCTCGGAGTACTTGACGTTTCGAATTCTTGGGCAAGACCCACTCTCATTTTTTTTCAGTTTTGGTTTTCAGTATAAGTATTTTGAACTTCCGTTACTAGTTAATTGTTTTGACTTTACAAATGTTTTTGGAAAAGTATTCTGTTTTCGTTTTTAAGTTGATTCGAGCTTTTGATCTATATGTTAGTACATATCTATTTTGACGTTATCTGGCCTTAAATTATTTTGTGTTTTCGACTTTATATCTTATTAAAGTATGTTTCTACTATTACACTGATGAGGAAAGAAAGTATGAGTCTGGGGGCACGAAAGATGGAATCATTGCAACCCGATCGCGACGGGATGACATTTTTCCTTTTGTGCAACTGCTCTGATTTGATTTCTTCGTTACGTATATATATGTGTATCTTTTTTCGTATTTTCGAGTTTTTCAGTGTAGTATGTTATTTTAAATTTCGAGGACGAATTTTTTTTATAAGGGTGGTAGATTGAAACACCCCAACCCCATTTTATTTAAAAATTGTTTTAAAGCCTTAATTGGTGAGCCCGTGGGGCCCACCTTGTTTTATTTTATGTTTTCTGGTCTCCCTCTCTCTTCTCTCAGTTCTCTCTTCTCCCTCACCTTTCCCGCAACTCTCTCTCCCTCACTCTCTCGGCTCTCTCTATCTCCACCCCTCGGAGGGTTTTTCTTACCAACTAACATCACCATCGTCTTTATCTCGTCGCTACGAACTCAACCATAGTATTGGCATCTTGAAAGTCAAACCAGGAAGCCCCGTTCATGAGCTCCGTCGAGCACCGCCCCTTTCGAGGCCATTGTCGGCCAATCCACGGCGAGTTGGCTGGCGTGTAAGGTATCAATCTCTTTGTCTGCCTACGTACTACAACTTTCCTTTTTGTTTCACTCAATTTTGTTGAGTATTGAAGAAGTTATACTCATTTGAATTTTACCCAGTTTCCGGCGACCTCTGAGGCTTTCGAGGAATTTTCCGGAAAAATAACGGCGAGTTAGATGTCGTGTGAGGTACCATTCTCTTCGTCTCTTCAAGGGTTACAACTTTTGTCTTTGTCTCGCTTGATTTCGTTGAGTAGTGATAAAGTTATGGCTGTTTAAAATTAGGTGGTTTTCCGGCTGAATTTCCAGCCTTCTTCTTAGGCAAAACCAGGCCTCTTAGGCCCTTTAGAAAACCCCTCGGGCCTTAGGCCCGTGTTGTCTTAAGCCCAAAACCCTAGCCCCTTTAGTTTTTAAGTTTTGTTACTTGGTTTTTAAAACCCTTAGGGCCTGGGCCGGTTTTGACTTAAAGGGCTTTAAGCCCTGTTAGTTTTTGTGAGGCCTTAAGGCCTTGGTGCCGTGGGTGTGTGTGTGTGTATGTGTTTATGCATGCACATACATGCCGTGTGTGTGTGTGTGTTTGGGGTTTAAGCCCAAACCACATTTCTTCACCCTAAACCCTTTTAACCCAAAAACCTTAGAAAACCCAATATATCCTAATCCTATTTAACCTAAACCTTAATCCGGATTTCAAGCCTAAAACCCGTTAGACCTAATTTGACCGTTGACCCCCGGTCAATGTTGACTTTAGGGTTGACTTTTCGGGTTTTCGTCCGGGACCCTTCTTAGGGTAATTCGACGTTCTGAATCCGTTTCCAATGTCCGTTTTCCCAAATTCAATTTCTATTATATAGTTTTATTTATTGGACTCTTTATGTGCTTAGGGGCAATTATTGTGACGTTTCCATCTTTGCTAGTGGCGCAACTTTTGGCAACTAAGTACTGTGAGTGGACCCCTTCTAAAATTTCATGATTTTATAGTAATTGCATAAATGATTAGCATGCCTACGAAATTTGTGAATTGATTTATATCAATCCTGTTTACTGAATTTATTGATTTTGTCTCGTGTTTTGGTGAGGAAATAAATGGTTAGCCTATTTTGAACTATATTTTTATATATCGTATTTTCTATAAAAACCATGAACTGGTAGACTATCCGATGGATGACGATAGGATACTAGAACATGTTTTAGAAACCCCTCTTTATAGTATAGACGATGGATGACCTTATACTATGAAGTGGTTATTTATGAGAGGCGTAAATATTTGTGCGTACCTAATAGACACTATGCCGCCTGGGGCGAGGATCTGGTGTTGGCATGTAGGCCGGGAGAAATAATCCCTAGCGAAAGGCTGAGGGACACGGAGACAGGCATTGGGCCGGGAGGGAGTTATCTCTGGCTACGGGCACAGAGACTGAGGTGCAGGCATTGGGCCGAGAGTTATTATTTATTCAGTGATCTTTCTAGCAGCACACCGCGTTTACGAGACGATTTATGATACATTTATTGTTTTGATTTCCGCGATGCGTTTCTGCGATATGACTTTTGAGATATTTGGCATGCTAGGATTTTTTTATTAAATCCATCACTTATCATGCTAGTAGTTTTCATTATTAAACTGTGGGGGTTAGTATCTTGATAACTGTTTTATTATTATTGTATATATGAACTTGGTCCACTCACCTTTGTTTTTCGCCCCTATTCAGGACTTAGAATCAATGCACCTAATCCCGACATCAAAACACTTCCGCAGCAGCATATTTGAGTCCTCTCGATGTAGGACCCACTTCTCTATTTATTCAATTTTATCTCAATTCTTTTTAGTGATTAGGTTTAGTTGTATGTTCTGAACACGTTCCTAAATTATTAACTCATTGTTTTTAAATTCATAACCTTTATTTATTTCTGATTCTTAGCTTTTGTATCAATTAATGGCTTTCGTCAGCCTCGGGTGTCGGCCAGCACGTGTCTATCCTGGTATTCGGGGAATATCAGGGTTGGGGCGTGTCAAGTTTCATACATCGTCTTTAAAAAGTTTCAATGTCATACCTTATCTTCGAATTTGTTGCAATGTCATACCTTCTATCAGTTCCTTTGTTAAATGCTGACGTGGCATGAGACAGGTCCACTTTTTATTAAAAAATTAATAAAATATTAAAAAGTATTAATTAAATATTAACTAAATATTAAAAATTAAAAATTTAAACCCCCCCCCCCCGAAAGAAACCCCATCCCCTTCATCATCTTCCCTCCCTGCAACCCAAATCCAAAACCACTCCCACCCATCCTCCACCTCCTCCTCCGCACCCATCCTCCACTTCCTCCGCGTACCCATCTTCCCATCTCCCTCCCCCTCCCCCCCCCCCAAACACGAGCCCAACTTGCAACCCAGAGCAAAAAAAAAAAAAAACCATCTTCATCTTCCTCGACCCCCCCTTCCCTGCAACCCACCCCTCGCCTTTCTTCCCCATCCCATCTTCCCCAAACCCACCGTGCACCCATCCTCCTCCACCTCCTCCTCCGCACTCACTACCTGCAACCCAAAAAAGAAAAAAAAAAACCCATCTCCCTTTCCCTGCAACTTAGATCTCGTCTTCCCCAATAGGTGTGGATTTAAGGAGTGGGGTGTGTAGAGGAGGGAGGAGGGTGGGTGTGAGGGTGGGTGCGAGGGTGGGTGCGGAGGAGGACGTGGAGGATGGGTGCGGTGGGTTTAGGGAAGACAGGAGGGGGAAGAAATGGGTGGGTCGTAGGGAAGGGGGTTCGGGGAAGATGAAGATGGGTTTTTTTTTTTTTTTTCCTTCTTCTGGGTTGCAGGTTGGGTGGGGAGAAGGGGGTTGAGGGGGAGGGAATATGAACTAGGTTTTTTTTTTTTTTTTTTTTTTTAATTTTAATTTTTTAATACTTAGTTAATATTTAAATAATTTTTTAATAAAAAGTGGACTTGTCTCATGCCACGTCAGCATTTAACAGAGGAACTAACGGAAGGTATGACATTGCAACAAATTCAAAGATAAGGTATGATATTGAAACTTTTTAAAGACGAGGTATGAAATAACCCAAACGTTGAGGTAGTTTTATGTAATTTATCCTTTTTAATTTGTATAAGAAAAATCAACTGTGATTGCTAGTTCCTAGAGAAAAATAAATGTACTTCACATGGAAGAGGATACTGTTGGATTTGTGACCAAGTGGACAACAAGCCAAAATACCTTTCGGCTAATAAAATAGAATAAGGAAAAGGGAGACATCATTATGATGTCTAGCCCTTGATTTGTGGCTTTTACAAAAGCAAAGAAAGGTGGCCTTTTGTTTATATTAAGGCATTTGGTTATGCCTTTGGAGAATGGGGAGTTGGGAACGGCAGATTTGAGAGAAGAAAGAGAAGGGTTGTTGTTTTCTATCATTCCCATTTTGTTTGTAATTCCCTTTTGTTAGTTATCACTCAATAAAAGATATTTGTGCTACATTTTGTGGCTTTTGGGAGAGAAGGAATTTGGTATATGTTTCCATCTTCTCCATTTGTTCTTTGTGAGAGTGAGAGCTATTGGGTGTATGTGGGATTTGGGTTTGAGAGTTAAAACTCTATTTGTAATCTCCTTTTGATATTAGTGGAATTTCCTCGCCGTCTCGGAACTGGACGTAGGCTTACGCCGAACCAGTATAAATCCTTGTGTCATTTGGATTATTTGTCTTATCATATTTTGCCATTGTTGCTTATTGGTTTCATATTTGACGCTTCCGCACAACAGATACTGCTCTTAGCATTTCATCAATAAGCCAATTGTCGACTCGCTCTGTTTTCTGCAGAGAAAAGGTAGTAAAACGCACAAACGAAAACTACGAAAGTGAACCATATTAAAAAAAAAGACAGTACCGATACTTACAGATGGGTAGCAATTCTTCACTATGTCCTTGAGTGTCAACCTTAAGCAGAACAAAAGGAATTTAGCACCTAGCCATGAGGCACCCGAAGTTCTTCTCTCCTGAAACAGAAAACTATATTATGAGACTGTTTTTAATCAAGCTTACTTTGGCGAACAACACAGAGGAATATCCTGGAATAACATTCCCACCACTGTTGATAAGAACCACAGATTTGACCAAAGCAGGCCAGAGACGAGCGACAATTGCAATAATATAACCTGGAGACAGAAAATCGTAACAAATAACAAGAAGATACACAACAGATATGCACACTGGAGAATAAAAGCTAAAAATTAAAGCAGATAAGCCACCAGAACTGGTTAGGTAAGTTGTAAGACATTGTTTAGGTAAGTTGATCATCTCGCTTCTAGTTTAAAACATACCACCAATTGAGTTCCCAACCAGATGTGCTGGTTCACCCACAACTTCAATAATGAAATCTCTAAGCATTTCAGCCCACATGAGTTCAGTGTATTCAATGTTTGGCTTTTCCGATTTGCCAAATCCTAATAGTGTGATGGCCCATACTCGGTTTCCACCTTCAGCAATGGCGCGTATGTTGTCACGGTAATGCTCCAAGAAGGCTCCAAAACCATGAACCAGAAGAGTAGCAGGACCTTCTTCACCCACAACTGTATACTGACAAAAGGATAGTAGTATCGTAGTGAAAGAGTAGGTACCCCAATCTACAACATAAAGCTAGCCAAGTATTTTTCCAGATTACAAGGCACAGAATATCTTTGAAATAGAAAAGATCAGTTTCGAACAAAATACCTGAATTAGATAGCCTTTCCATCTCCAGATACGAATACGAAATCTTCTGTCATCACTTAACTGACTTTTTAGAGAGACAAGCAAATACCACTGTCACAAAACATAACTCAGTTGCTTACAAATATGTTATGCAATAAATAATGTTTATTTGCAAAGAAAGCAACTTAGGTAAGTCTCCGAAAAGCCACTTCAATCAAAACATAAATACAATTTTCGCATAACTGGTACAGCACCTCCATTGAGCACACCGAATCAACAGTTGCGGCAATGTAGCGGATGAATATCCAAAAGGAGACAGAAATCCAGAATCTCGTTCTTTCTTATACTTGAGAGCTTCAAAATATACTCTTCTTCTGGATAGGATACCAAGAAAAAGGGCAGGACCAAAGAGTGTAGTAAATGAAGCTCCATCCCGACTTTCAGCACAGGGCATCCGTTCATGTTTTCTGCAACAAGATTATAACAAAAGAACCTTTTAGTTAATGCAGGAATGAAGTGGAAGTTTTTTTACTGTAAAATATGACCACGTACTCCCACCAGTAGTGATCACGTTCTGTTCCCTCCAAATATCTCAAGTATGCACCCAAAGCTTTCAATGCGTTACTGGTCCCCCCTCCCAGAGAATTTCCCTTTGTAGTGACAAACATAGAATTCTCGCGCTTCTTTGATGGGACCTGGACATGTCTAGAACTCGAATTGTTTAGATTTCTTTGCCCAGGCTTCAAAATTTCCTTCATCAAAATCATTTCAGCGCACATCTCTTTCATTGAATTCCAACTCTTCCATTTTGCATGGATTTTCTTTGATAAAATGTTTCAAATCATTAAATGTGGGGATGGGACCTGAATCATAGTAAAGCGATTATGGTCACTACTACTTGCAAGATATATCTTCGACAAATTTAGTAACGAAACAAATCAAGTAGAAGTATAAGCAGAAGCATTAACAATATGGGAACTCTTACCCCAATCCACTTCCATGTTTCGACCAGTTAATGTTGCGGAAGACAGTGGCAAAGTTACAGGCAATCTAAGTTTGGTAAATTCATCGTATGAATCTGGAATACCCTTCAAGCTCTACATAATCACACACTCATCCGATCAATTGCTCGATAGTAACTAAGTGAATCACCAACCAGCACCTCAAAAACAAATAAAAAAACCAATCAAGACAACGACAACTACCTTCACATCATAAAACGGAGACTGCCACAGCACAAACTTGGGGGAAGACCGCATTGCCGCCAAGGTGTCCCTGACACTATCAGTCATATTCCTTAAGCCATACTCCACCTCCTCCTCGGCATATACCGTACTAACAAACTGAACCTGTTGCAATCCTCTCCAATGATGAGTGGTTCAACTACTTGTTAAAGATCAACACCAGCCCATTAAGATCAGTCGGTACAAAGGAACTAGATTGGTCTAGTTCAAACATGCATGGTTTTCTCTAGAAGATTCTATAATGGGAATATGCTAGAAAACTCTAGCAAAGAAGGTTGTTCCTTAAGTTGGTGGAAGATTCTAGAAGAATGGTGAGGTTTCCACCAACATGCAAGATTAGTGTAGATAATTCTAGCTTGGGAAGTTAGTAGAATTATCTAGATAACTCTAGCATGATGTTTCCATGCTTCTCCAAGGTTCCATCCATGCCTATAAAAGGAGAAGGCATCCACACCATTTGTATCAACCAATCAACCAAGTAACCAAGTAACCAACCAATCAATCAAGAAGGCAACCAAGTGAGAGTGAGAAGCAAGAATAGTCTTGTAGGAGTGTGAGTGATCTAGAGTGTGTCTCTAGAAAGTGAGTGAGTGTCATTGCTTCTAAGTTGTGTCCTTGTGAGTGTTGTAATATTTTGTGTGTGTAATAGAAGTAATTTGTTTACTTGTGTTGTCTCTCCAACACTTGTGTTAGAGTTGTGTACTCTAAGTTCTTCCCAACACTACTCTCATACAATATAGAAACCTACCCACAACTTGGATACTGATGTGGCGGAATTCCAATCCAATCCTGCATTTTGATGCATTTCTGCGTGATTATCTTGGAATTCTGCCACAATGGCATCCCCGTGGCAGGAAGTTGTTTCTCCTTATACACAATAAGCAATGCTATTGATGTAACAACCTCTTTTACAAGCTCTTGAATCACATTTTAGGCATTCCCCAACCGAATCATCAAGTTCACACCTTTATCCTTCAACGAGTTTCTCAAATCTTGCAAAGCAATCAAAACCGTTTCTTGCATTTTCTCGGGAAAACCTGCCCATTTTCCCTCCAATGAATCCACCTATAGATATAATCGTACATCACTATTTGTGTAAGAGTTTTTCATGCTTTCTTGTTTGTCATTTATGCGACTTAATCTTGTTCTTGGCAATATAAGTTTACACCCATTACCTACAAGGTGATTTTCTTTAAGCGTTTAGCATGGTCATATGGAGTGAATTCAAAATTAGTGTTGTCGACGGAGATGAGTTGCCTCTGGTTGAGTAATTCCCAAGTCTCCTATTCTTCGTCTCCTCGAGACCCTCGGTACACCTGTATCACACACACGAACTTCTGACCAAATAATTTTCATAACTATACTCTTCACAAATCAGACACAAAGTTTGTATACCAACAGAAAATTAGTAATTTTTCCTGTGTCTTGTATTTGCAGAAGTTGAGAGATAATTAAGCAGGATGGCTTCTGCCCAGGGAAAAGAAAAGCCAGCAGCCATAAAGTTTCAGAAGAGCTACTTTGATGTGTTGGGGTTGTGCTGCTCATCAGAAGTTCCTATAATAGAGAATATCCTCAAGCCTCTTGAAGGTGTGAAAGAGGTTTCAGTGATTGTGCCTTCCAGAACTGTCATTGTTGTCCATGATAGCCTTCTCATTTCCCAGCTTCAAATCGGTAATATATTCTCTTAAATAATTTTACACCGGTTAATATTAGTATTTCCCCTTAATTCTCTAATATTTGTGCTAAAAATTGTTTATTTTTTTCTTAATAGTTGCACAACAGAAAGCAAATAGTTTTGGGAAAATTAAAAAAAAAAAAGAACGATGGCAGTAGGTGGACGTGTACTTTTTCCGTTGTGGGGGAGTTATTAATCGGCATATCGTGTACCATTATGAATAAAAAAGATGGAACCGGATCCCCCCCTGATCCATATATATAATTATATATTGAGTCTGCTGAGTAGATGATTTGGACCGTTGAAATTTAATTCAACGACTACAACTATTATAATTTGCCCTCTGTTTGTACCATTATGAACCAAAAAGATGGAACCGGATCCTGTCATGATCCATATATATATTGAGCCTGCTGAGCAGGCTATCTGTACCGTTGAAATTTAATTCAACGACTACAACTATTATAATTTTTAAAGGGTCATTTATCTGTAGCTGTTGGATCAAATTTCAATGGTCCAATCGCATGCTCACCTGATTCAGTATATATAAATCCGGAGAGGATCCGGTTCCCAAAAAGATAGAGACGAGCATGCCTTGTATGTTTTTCTTTACCCAACTTTCACGTACTATTTTACTTTCTTTTTCATCACCCACTACGATATCCGACCAAATTATACAAAATAAAAGTATTTCAGATAATTTCCCATTTTCTAGGTGCTTTCTGCAGTTTTTATGATGAGTTTGTAGCAAAAAAAATCTTACGAACTCGTTCTACGTAACTTTTTTCACTGTTTTTTTATTTTATTTTTGTTGTTGAACTTCTTTGAACGTTTCTTTGGTTTCACAATTTACTATGTATAATATATTTAAAAATAGCTTTCAGTTGTGGCTAATTCGTTGTATGTTTCACCTTACACTATATAATACCAAATCGTTTTACACCCCTTTGGTGTGAATCTTGAGACTCATTGACCATGAGGAAAAGGACATTAGTTGACTTAAAATAAAAAAGTTCAAGCTATTTATTCGAAAATAAAATAAAGTATGCTCAGTGCTTTTAGCCGGCCTCTCATACACTCTTTTATCTTAAGACAAATGCACAAGTTTTTCAATCTCTGTTATTACTTATAAGGATAAAATTCTTTTGTTTTGCCCCATCAGATAACATTTAGAAACATTGAAAATTGAAGGAAAATTAATACGACAGCAAACTCACATGAATGGATATCGAAAAACTGATAGGGCAACATAAACAAATTTATTTTTCCTTGAGGAAATTGCCCTTTTGATTTGTTATTTCATGGACAGTTAAGGCACTAAACCAAGCAAGGCTAGAAGCAAATGTGAGAGTGTATGGGGCAGGGGACATTTACAAGAAAACGTGGCCAAGTCCATATGCAATTGGTAGTGGCGTGTTACTGGTTCTATCATTTCTCAAGTACGCATATCGGCCATTAGGGTGGTTGGCCTTGGAGCCGTGGCCGTTGGCATTTTCCCCGTTGCTTTGAAATATTTTGCGTCTATTCGGAATTTCAGGTTTCATGACATCAACATTCTTGTTATCATTGCCGGTGAGTCAATACTTGGTCTTAATCATTGCGTTAGTTATATGAAATTATCATATAAACATTGAAGAACACTGTACACATGACTGTCAGTCGGATCAGGATCCTCTCCTGAGCAAATGGAGAGGATCCTCCTGAGCGGGCTTATCGGGCCGTTCAAAATTTATCCAACGGCTACAAACAGGGGGCTCCACTAAAAGTTATAATAATTGTAGCCGTTGCATAAAATTTGAATGGCTCGATGGACCTGGTCAGGAGGATCCTCTCAATTTGCTCAGGAGAGGATCCTGATCCCTGTCAGTCAATCATCTATCACGAGAATAATATTTAATGTGATACAATCATCTCTCCCACTTTAAAGTTACTCATCAAATTATATTTTCTACACTCCAAAATTTTGCTACCACTTATCTACTCATTTCTTTGTCAGCTACTTTATAAAAATGATTACAAAAATTAGCTATAAAAAATTATAAGTAAAATGTCGTATTAAATAAATCTAGGCCGTCTTGTTCTTATTGCAAATTGGATTAGTTTTGGTCACTAAATTGTGATTGTTGTTCGTATCGTTATATATTGTAGAACCTTAACGGTTTATCCTTTTGTTTTGTTTTTCTCCGTTGCAAGGATGTTTAAGAAAAAGACTTTACTGAGACCTTTTGTGATAAAACCTCATACCTGACGGATTGCAGGTGGTAATTACCAAGTTGGGGACAATATCGGTGTTGTTGGAAATGAGCCGTATGGTCCGTCTCTTTGATAATTCTATCGTATCAAGAAATGTACACAAATATGAACAAAAAAAAAATCTCAAACCCTTAATAATCCGATGTGAAATAATGTGGTAGGATGACCTTCAACTGCCAAAATATGATAATAGTTGCTAATATTCAAAGTTTCACATTCATGGGCCATACGGTATAAATGCAAATAAAAGGGTAGTTTCAATAATGCAGCAAAACACAAGGGCAGTTACGACACTTTATTTCATGGGGGCATTGCTAATATTTCTCTATTTTATATACGAGTGCTACTACACCCACTCCAATGTCTTATTTTTCCACCCCAGTTTTTATTAAATTGTTAATGACTAATTTATCCTCTCATAAAATGACATATAAGGACATGCAAAAAGGCAATGCTTCCGTTTCAGTCTCCTTCGAGCTCTCTCAATCATTTTTGAAACTCTAACCTCCATATTAATGGACAATGCAATTGTGATCAAGGTTATGAAATGGACTGGATCCTGTGGACAGGTGACTCAAGTGAAGGTCAAGTTTCTATTACTTTGTGTCGGTGAATGGCGAGGAGAGAGGAAGGGGATGAGGCATTTGGAGGGAAGGCGATTATTGTGGATTGAGATGCCATTGCAGCTGCCACTGCCAAACCCACTAGGCGGTGCTAGGAGGTGGTATCTTTGATTGGGATTGGGATTTGATTTGGATTTGGAGGGTGGACAAATCCATTGGCAACCAGTTTTGATTCCATTTTTGGTACTTCGTTTCTTGCCTTGCCTTCGCCTACATTTGCTTCTGTGGCTCTGGGCACTTGGGCACTAGCCAAGCAGCAGAGCATGCAAATTGCAATGGAAGTGCAAAGTAAGTGTATGATTGTATCAAAAGTGACGGGTGAGCTCGGCTTTTTCCTTTCTATTTTGTTTCAAAATTATTTCATATTTGGAAATTCAAAGAATTGAAAATAGAATGGAGGACATGTTACTGGAAGTCTAGAAGGAAATCAAGCATTGATATGATAGTATCTGGGGTTTTAAGCGATCAATAATGATGGGATATGAGGCCATTGAGCAGGGTGTAAGGGCGCTTTGGGAATAACAGTGGGTGGAAAAATAGTATGGTTTTCTTTTTACTTTTCTTGGTGGGTGGGAATATAAAGTGGGTGGGAAGATAAGATATTGGGGTGGGTATAACACCACTCTTTATATATATATATATATATATATTGTTTTTTTTTTAATTCAAAAGTATAAACACAATTCTCTTTAGCTTTTCAATTAATTCAACCCCTCTCTGGTATTTCCCCTTTAGAAATTAATAATTGCAAAACAAAGAGACATACGATATTGAGTATAAAATAGTGTTTGACAAAAATATCTAAAGAGGGGATGAGGAGGGGTTCTTACTGCTAACAATTCCCTTAAAAATGGTGCGGCAATCATAAGAGAGAAGGGCGCAAGTGGGGCTTTCCTATGGGAAAATGCACGCTGTCACATGGCCATGCCATATTTTACCTTCCAGAGTTACCACAAACCTTACTTTTTCCAGGAAAATTTTCATTTTCTAGGAAAAGTTTTCATTTTCTGTATCTTGAGAGATCATTCCGTTACTGATTTTCTCTACACATAATCTTGATTTGTCTACTTGGTTTAGAGCAGTTTTAGTTCATTTGGCTTACTACATTACTTGCCGTTGAGGGTGTACTTGCGAAATCAGTTATAATACAACATTAGCTTACTACATTACTTACGGTTGAGGGTTTACTTGCTAAATCAGTTAGAGTGGCCATCTCATCAGTTTAAGCACAGATGCTACTTTGATGTGTTGGGGTTGTGCTGCTCATCAGAAGTTCCTCTGATAGAGAATATCCTCAAGCCTCTTGAAGGTGTGAAAGAGGTTTCAGTGATTGTGCCTTCCAGAACTGTCATTGTTGTACGTGATAGCCTTCTCATTTCCCAGCTTCAAATCGGTAATATATTCTCTTAAATAATTTTACACCAGTTAAAATTAGTATTTCCCCTTAATTCTCTAATATTTGTGCTAAAAATTGGTTTTTTTTTCTTAATAGTTGCACAACAGAAAGCAAATAGTTTTGGGAAAAAGAAAAAAAAAAGAACGATAGTAGTAGGTGGACGTGTACTTTTTCTGTTGTGGGAGAATTATTAATCGGCATATCGTGTACCATTATGAATCAAAAAGATGGAACCGGATCCCCTCCTGATCCATATATATATATATATATACATATTGAGTCTGCTGAGCAAACGATCTACACCATTAAAATTTAATTCAATGACTACAACTATTATAATTTTTAGAGGGCCCTCTGTTTGTACCATTATGAACCAAAAAGATGGAATCGGATCCTCTCATGATCCATATATATATTGAGCCTGCTGAGCAGGCGATTTGGACCGTTGAAATTTAATTCAACGGCTACAACTATTATAATTTTTAGGAGGTCATTTATTTGTAGCTGTTGGATCAAATTTCAACGGTCTGATCGCCTGCTCAGCAGATTTAGTATATATGAATCCGAAGAGGATCTGGTTCCCAAAAAGATAGAGACGAGCATGCCTTGTATGTTTTTCTTTACCCAACTTTCACGTACTATTTTGCTTTCCTTTTCATCACCCACTACGATATCCGGCCAAATTATACAAAATAAAAGTATTTCAGATAATTTCCCATTTTCTAGGTGCTTTCTGCAGTTTTTATGATGAGTTTGTAGCAAAAAAAATCTTACGAACTCGTTCTACGTAACTTTTTTCACTGTTTATTTTATTTTATTTTTGTTGTCGAACTTCTTTGAACGTTTCTTTGGTTTCACAATTTACTATGTATAATATACTTAAAAATAGCTTTCAGTTGTGGTTAATTCGTTGTACGTTTCACCTTACACTATATAATACTAAATCGTTTTACACCCCTTTGGTGTGAATCTTGAGTCTCCTTGACCATGAGGAAAAGGACATTAGTTGACTTAAAATAAAAAAGTTCAAGCTATTTATTCGAAAATAAAATAAAGTATGCTCAGTGCATTTAGCCGGCCTCTCACACACTCTTTTATCTTAATACAAATGCACAAGTTTTTCAATCTCCGTTATTACTTATAAGGAAAAAGTTCTTTTGTTTTGCCCCATCAGATAACATTTAGAAACATTGAAAATTGAAGGAAAATTAATACGATAGCAAACTCACATGAATGGATATCGAAAAACTGATAGGGCAACAGAAACAAATTTATTCTTCCTTGAGGAAATTGCCCTTTTGATCTGTTATTTCATGGACAGTTAAGGCACTAAACTAAGCAAGGCTAGAAGCAAATGTGAGAGTGTATGGGGCAGGGGACATTTACAAGAAAACGTGGCCAAGTCCATATGCAATTGGTAGTGGCGTGTTACTGGTTCTATCATTTCTCAAGTACGCATATCGGCCATTGGGGTGGTTGGCCCTTGGAGCCGTGGCCGTTGGCATTTTCCCCGTTGCTTTGAACGTTTTGCGTCTATTCGGAATTTCAGGTTTCATGACATCAACATTCTTGTTATCATTGCCGGTGAGTCAATACTTGGTCTTAATCATTGCGTTAGTTATATGAAATTATCATATAAACATTGAAGTACACTGTACACATGACTGTCAGTCAATCATCTATCACAAGAAAAATACTTAATGTGATACAATCATCTCTCCCACTTTAAAGTTACTCGTCAAATTATATTTTCTACACTCCAAAATTTTGGTACCACTTATCTACTCATTTCTTTGTCAGCTACTTTATAAAAATGATTACAAAAATTAGCTATAAAAAATTATAAGTAAAATGTCGTATTAAATAAATCTAGGCCGTCTTGTTCTTATTGCAAATTGGATTAGTTTTGGTCACTAAATTGTGATTGTTGTTCGTATCGTTATATATTGTAGAACCTTAACGGTTTGTCCTTTTGTTTTGTTTTCCTCCGTTGCAAGGATGTTTAAGAAAAAGACTTTACCGATGTCTTTTGTGATAAAACCCCATACCTGACGGATTGTGCAGGTTGTGGAGCCAAAAATATTCACAAGGCGACATGTGGATTTTTCACAAAAGAAGACAAAACTACCCTTGGAGCATACCGGGATCCTTACGCGCAAGCAACGGACAATTATCCCTCAACCAAGTCAAAAGTGCCCAAAATAGATATCAACTTAAAACCTAATTTATTCATATATTTCCTATTTCATTATTTAGCTAATCAATTAGCTAAATACTATACTTATTCCATAATTCCTAAAACATTACTTTAGTCTAAAGAAAGCATTGCAATTGGCACTGTTCTTTACTGTTCATTATTTTTGGACCCCAATTTCACTCTATTTACGGACTTGCCATTCACTAAGGATTTCGGCTGGGCTTTTTTCTTTTCAGATTTAGTTGTATGGGCTTTTGCGGGTTTGGGCTGTGACTGGGTTGGTGGGTTTTGTTTGTGGTTGGGTTTTTCGGATGGATGGCGACACGGGCAGGCCTAGCCTGCAACGATGCCAGCGAGAAGAGATGGAAGGTGTCGTGTGATGCGAGAGAGAGAAGAGAGAGAGGAGTCGTCCGATGGCAGAGAGAAGAAAGAGGGGTCGTGCGATGCCAGAGAGAAGAGAGAGCAGGACTCCTGGAAGGAAAAATTGGAGGAGAGAGGGAGGGGTAGGATGAGCAAAGCAATAGGTAGGGCTGCCCGGAATTTGGCTTTTCTTTTTTCTCGATGAGGTATGCTTAGAGAAGCGGTGAGGCATGAAGGGACGCCCAAACCGAGGGTTGGTTTCAGAGATTTGGTTCCAGCTGGAAGCTATCTCTGCAAGCATTGATGAGGATTTCTCCCAACTGGCAGCTTGAATTCCTTTCAAAGCTAAGTGTCCATTTTGAACCGAATTTTCCCTTATTTCACTGTTTCTGGTTTGAACCTGCTTAGAAACCTATTTGTTTTCCTGCTTTGTTTTCTGTCTGGTTCTGGTTCGGTTATTCAACTTTTAGTTGGGAGTGCAAGATATTTTTTAAATTATTAAATTGGGACAGAAAAACAGATATTTTGTGCTGCTTTCTTCACTGTCTGATAATACCACTTGCTCTTCCTTTCTCTTTTTCTTCCTGTTGTGTTGGTCTTTCAGTATTATAGCTTCTCTGCAGAAATCAAACTGTATGCAATTTGCTCCTTTTTGTTCATTACCCTATTATTTGGTTCCTCTTTTTTTTGTTCATGGCTTATTGTTTTTTGTTGTGGTGATGACCGTGTGAATTAAATACTCAGTTATCCATTCCTCTAAAATACATGATGCGTCTGATTCTTTTTCGTTCACAGATGATGGTGCATGGTTGAGGTTTATATGCTATCCCTCTGTTGGTTGTTTTATGATTGTAATTTTTTGTTTTAAAACGTGTATGTTGTGTGTGATGTACAAATTAGAGCAGAGGTTTGTACATGCGGTTTTAAATTGAGGGGGAGCCATAATTTTGTTATCAGAAAAAAATTTGATTGAGGTTTCATCTGGTTGTGTTACGGTTGCACAATCTGTGGTTCGCAGCGACTGTGATCATTTCCTGACAAATGTATGGAGCTGTGTTCTTTTTGTTGGGGAATTATGGTTGGTGATATTAACAATGGATTGAGTCTTTCTGTTTGGTATGATTATATCGTTGAACAAGCATGGTTTTAAAGTGGATGCAGATGACAATTTTGTTTGCACGAGAAAATGGTTGAGTTAGTGGTTTTTAATCGTTTAATTGTTGTGCCTTTGCTATGATCCCTGTTCCAGCGGTGTTTGATTGGCGCAAATAGATTTTCATTGTTGTTTCTCAGCTGTTATTTTCGTTGCTGTTCTGTGAGTTAGTGTTAATGGCTTTGCTGTGTTTGCGATTTTCAGGAACTTGGATCGTTGGACATAGCACTTGGCCCTTTGGCTTTTGAGGTATATTTATTTGCGGTTGTTATGGTGGAATGTGCAATCGTTATGTCTTAAGTTGAGCCTGGTTCTTTAATAAAAACAACCAAATGTATTGACTTTTGCATGTGTTTTGCGTGAGAACACCAAGTTGTGATGTGTTCGTCGTTGTAAACATTATCAGCAACTTTGGCTTTTCATGTGTTCGCATGGTAAAAACGGCTAATATATTGAGTTTGAAAATAAGGGTTTGGGGTTCGCTATCTTTCCATATGTATAATTTTACCCCATTTTTCGTTTCTTTATAATTTCAATTATCTTTCAGCAACCTAATCACTAAGCTTATTAAATTCATTGACCAGGTGATTTTGGATTCAATCCAGAAGTTCCTATTTCTCAGATTGGTGTTGTCTGTTCCTTTGTGGTAGTGAGATTGGTAAATCATTGCATTTTACTAAAGTATTTGACCTGCGTGTTCTGAACTTTTGAGCTCATTTCGTCTCTAAAATGTCCTCTTGGAGCTCTTACTGTGATTGTTCTTCTATTTCTTTTATTCAAAATGTTTTACATTTCTCATTTAATTGGTGTGCCATGCCCTACTTCAGTTTGTATTTTTTTTTTTTTTCGGTTATCATTTGCCATCTCACTTCAGTTTTAAGTGGTCATTTCACCTTAGTTTATTAGACCACAAAAGATGTTATTATGAGACCATTATATTGTAATTGATTCTGATGACGGAGGTTTATCGGAGATGAAGGCTAATGCTTAAGCTTTCAGTGGTTAATATCTCTTGAAACTTTTGATTTCATTTATCTTATTGACCTTTTCTCTCTTTTTTTTTTCTCTCAACAGTTGGGATGAGTGGGTAGGGTTGGATCGTCTGATGAAAAACACTGACGAGAATAAGAAGAAGCACGAGTACCTCAACCAGAAACAGGGAACAGACAAGAATGCAAAGCTAATACACACAACACATACTAAACCAAAAAGTTATCATGGTTGGGTTTATCATCTTTTAACATTTCTTTTGTTGTTGCCCAATCATGAAATTTGGATTTATTCTTGAATGTTAGATGTAGGGTGTGGAATTCTAGCATGTGACATGAACCATCCTATTTTTCGGCGAGCTTTGGGGTTTAACGGTCCTACCCTTCATAGGGGTAAATATAATGGATATGGGATACTGAAAAAGTAACAAGGTAGTTAACTAATTTACCAACATGCATTCTTCATTTACGATCATAACTTGAATACGGTTCTTGAATTAGGATGCCAAGTGGTTAGGTACTGAAAATATATCCTGTTATATTAACTTCTCTTGCAATTTGAAAGTGTATATAATCTGCATTGTTCTTACTGTTGGTATGAAATTATGTGCAGCGTCAAGAGGGAAGAAGCGAAAGAATGACTCTGTCTGTAAGGTATACCTCCGGGTCATTATACATATCTCTCTGTTCATATTATTTCCTTTTCATTCTTGCTAAATTATTGGGTTATTATATTTGTGTACAGATATTAGTGTATTTGTTAATTGGATTTCGATAATTGGAGTTCAAATATTACATTGTTATAAAGATACCAATTTCTCATATGATTGCAATTTGCATGTAGATATGTGTTATCTGATTCAATCACAAAATTTGTATCCCTTTAGCTAATAGTGTGTTCATTTGCTGAACTGGGTTGGCTTTAGTTTTAGGTTTTATTATGCGGTACGCAGTGGGTCAATTCTTGAACATATTCTCAATTTAGAATGAGAGAAACTAATGATTCTTCTGAATGAAAATGTTTTAGATGGGTTTCTGTAATGCGAATTTCGTGAGGCTCATAACGCTGATTTGATTCTCTCATAAGAAAGGATCTCCTCTCTGGCTTTCTGGGCCAAGTCATCGAAGCTCTCTCTGTAAGTAATTTCTCACCCTTTTCTTCATCCCGTCGTAGTAAAATCGGATTTCTTTGGTTAAATTGAATGCGCCAATCAGTTCATTTGCTTTCAATTTCTTAATTCTCTGCTTGGTTGCTGGGAAAGTGTGGGAAAAATGATTTAAATTTACTTCCTTTTATGTTTCCGACTTCAATCTTCGTAGTAATTGTACCTAAATGAGCTGACTTTTGTTACAGTTTTTGTGGAATTCCATCTTCTCTCTGTTATCTGATTGATCTAATTGATTTAAAATGTATATAAAAAGTGACTTGATTTTTGTTTTTTGCTCTGTTGACTTATGAACTGTTTAATTGGATTCATTATTGAAAAAGCTGATTTTTTATTTTATTTTATATTTATTTATTATTTTTTTCTTTTTAAAGAAAAATGATTCTTGAATGCACAATGTTGATGGGTTTTTATTGCCCATCTCAAAGACTGATAAATTCACTTTTGGGGGAACATACATGCCTAGCATTTTTTTCCTGTGCTGATTTGAGCTGCAAATGTATGAGGGTTGGTCTGAATTGACGAGCATAGATTTTGCGTATGCACATGTATACTAATTTAGGATTTTGAGCATTGTGGTGGTATGATCTCATGATAAAATGTCCAAGAATATATGATTTTTATTCTTTTGATTCAGTATCATGACTCAATTGCAAAGCACTAAACATTGTAGTTAAATACTTGCATGCTAATGGTTTGGTGTAATGGTAACTCATTTAGAGAGAGAAAGTGGCAGCAGTAGTGGGGAAGGAAGAAGGACTATTCATGTTTCTGTTATCATTTCTGCCATTCGAAGCTCTGGGGGTTTGGCTTTGGCTCCGTTAGCTGTTGAGGTAATTATTAATTTGCAATTTTTTTTTCAGTATTCGGTGAGTTTGATCATATGGGTTTCACTACTCAACCCTTCTCTACCATTACGAACAGGTTCACTTTTTAGGGTCGGTAATTTTGTGGTTTGAAAATTATGTGTTAGAAGTGTAAGTTTGGGCTTAGAAATGGGTTTTCTGTTAAAATTTCATTTTTGTGATTTTGGGGGCTTTGTTTCAAGCAATCTCATCCCTTTAATCAGACTTTTTCCAAATTTTATTGGTGGGTGTTGGGTGCTTTTGAATTTGGTGAAATTTGTGATTTTTCAGTGCTTCAATGATGTTTTGGAATGATTGGTATTTTGGTGTCAAATGCAACTAATTATGTGGATCTTCATTTGATGATTCATTTCTTTCACTCAGTGTGTCAAGAAATGAGTTCAACCATGGATTCGTATACATTGAAGTCCACATCAGATTTGTCTGCTCTCTGACCTGATTGAGTGAGGGATGAGTGCAGGGAGAATATGACGGAAATTGAGGAGGAAGCCCATGCTTGCAGAGAGTTAGTGAGATCTGAAGCCCATGCCTGGATGAACTCATTTAATTTGAGCACACAGAGCTCAAATCTGGTGTTCAAAAATAAGGCGGAGGCCACAAAGTTCTCATATTTAATTTTCATGGGCCGTGCAAAAAAATTTTGGACTTTTTGTGATCCCACAACCCCTCCCCCACATATAATTGGCTTTAAAGGGTTCAGGGTTCTATTCTTTTATTATTTGTTTCTCTCTTTTGGACCAAAAGGCAGATTTTGTTCATTATTTCAAAGTATTATTATTATTTTTAGAAATTTGAAAGATTGTTTCAAACATTGATATATAAACGCAGTGCAATTTGGCATATCAAATCAACCTGCAGCTTCCTTGGGACTCTAATTCTTAGGTGAGTTCTTCTGTTTCTCATTTTATTGATGCTTTTTTGTTTTCCTTTCATCTAGGTTCTGTAATTTTCATATAGTTTTTTGTTCTTTTGATGCATTTGCTACTGTGATCTTCTAACTGCTGAAGTTTATAGAGCATTTCAGTTAGATGTTATTATTAAAGATTGCAGCTTTGAGCTTTTTTTCTCCTTGAATTTTACTGTTTGATTCTTGGGTGTGTTTATTTTTCTTGCTCAACAATTTTTTCTAATGCCATCAGCTGTGATGGTTAATATTCTGAATTCATCGACTTTGATATGATTAGACTATTGCAATTAAGCATTTTGATTAGATTTCAGCAAACAACATAAGATTAGCGTGCTGGAATTCAATAAGATAGAAGCTAATAGAACACTTTGATATGCAGGAATGCTCGACAATTGGTCTTATTAATGGTTGTCTTCCAGAGGAATTAAAGAAGGTACCTTTTATATGTAGCTTCTGAATGGGGGAATTCAATGTCTTATATTGTCAAATATAATGTTATTGTGTATGTATTTACTTTGCATAAACTTGGTCTCACTTTTGATTGAATTGTTGTAGTTCTTGGTATAAGGAGCTATAGCTCCATTGAAGAAGTGAGAGGCATACGACAATATTTCTTCAGTCTGGTATGTCATTTTAACGATTGGAATTCCACAATTTGATTAGTTTTGATAATTTCCGGAAGAAGAAGAAGGCCGTGTGTCCAAGTTTTAAAAAGCACACTTTGTAATGCTTCAAAATTTCATGCTTTTTTCAGGAATTCAGACAGGCAGGATGCAGATACTTCTGACTTTATCAAGGTTAGTGAATTATGTGGTTTCTCCACGGGGTGCAGTTTTATTGGTGCTACTGTTACGTCTCTCATTATTATTAGCTTTTCTTTCTCTTTGTTCATATTTTTGTCTTCGAGGATGAATCATTGGAAGCATAATATGTTTTTGCATCATGCTTTTCTTTTTCCCACTAAAGTGGCATCAATAGTTATTATATTCCTCCTCTACAAACCTCTTTATACGAACAACTGATGGACTTTACGGTGTACAAGCAAACTGGTTATGAGAGTATTAAGTGGGTTTCTATAAGACAAGGTGATAGATTAGCAAGTCTGAACTCAGTTTCTTCCTACTAATTGTGCAATGTCTTTACATGTTAGCTTAGTTGAATGTATATAAAAGTCAAGCTGCTTATCTTATCGACCTCATTCACTCATGTGCCTTTCTGTTCATTCGTGATTGTGTTGAATTTATTCAGGTTAAATGTGTCTTATTCATGTAGTTACGCCTGAAACAGTGGTTCTCGCCGCAACGCGCGGGCTTATTTTCTAGTTCCTTCTAAAATAATGATAAATAGCTAATTAATGGGTTAATTAGCTAATTATTCCCTTAATTAGCATTTAGACCTTTCACTTTACCCTAACTCCCACAAAAGGGGCCGGCTATCCCCATTTCAAAACCTCATCCATCACCTTTTCTGCCATTTTTCACCATTTCTTCCTTTTTATTAGCCAATAAATTCCATAACCACAAAAGCATTTCCTTTTATGTTTAATTAGCCAATTAATTGGCTAATTAAACCAAAACAAAACCTAAAACCCTACTAAGTGCCCGGCCATCCTTTCCTCTCCTATAAATTGGTTCCCATTTTCACCAAACACTAATTCCAACACTTTGGCAAAAATCCCAAAATTCTCTAAACACTATTTCTCTCTAAATTCTAACTTTGGCATCGGAGGTTCTTCGGCCAAAGCCCCCCACATTCATCGTGGGCGCGTGAGGCTCTTGGCCTAAACCTAAGGTGTTAATTGTTTTGAAGGTGCAAAATTGTCCAAGATCAAGGAGGAAGAAATTTGCATCCACAAATTGGTGCTTTCATTGAGAGTTGAAATCCACACTCGTAGAAGACTCTCGCACAAAGGTTTTTTCTTTATTTTCTAGTCCATTTGAATATTTTTCATACGTTCTTATTATTGGAATTTTTTACTTGCAAAGTTTCTTTGATAAAACGTATAAGCAAAATATAATGGCTAGAAATTTAGAAAATTCCACAAGTGAAAATTCTAATGTTCAAGAAATGGGATTGCGGAGATCCGTGAGGCTAAATGCGACAATAACAGCACCACCACCACGAGTTTCCACCATGGGAACCACCACAATAGCTACCTCGGTAGCCACCCGTGGCGAGGTCCATGGTGCCTTCACCACGGCTCGAGCCGTGCCATCCAAGGCTCACGGCCCAAGTCGTGTCATCCAAGTTTGCACGGGCCTGGGCCCAAGCCTCGCATTCGCATGCATCACATACTAAGCAGCTTGTTCCCGCCAAGCAACATGCTCTCGCCAAGCAATCCACTCTCGTGACCCAGCCTGCTCCCGACGAGCAACCCACTCTCGTGGTCCAGCCTGCTTCCGTTGAGCAGCCTACTCCCGTGGCCCAGCCTGCTCCCGTCGAGCAGCCCACTCTCACGGCCCAACCTGCTCCTGCCGAGCAGCCTGCTCCCAATGAGCAGCCCACTCTCGTGGCCCAGCCAGCTCTAGTCGAGCAACCCACTCTCACGGCCCAACCTGCTCTCGTGGCCCAGCCTGCTCCCGTGGCCCAGCCTGCTCCCGTGGCTTTCCAAGCAGCCCAAGTCGGCCCAAGACTATCTCAACCATCCGGACCTACCATCGAGCTGGGGGCATTCTCACCATATTTTTTAACGGACATTTCCCAACTCAAATCTCCCGCCCGGAGTCTACCACCTTTCCACTGCCCGATGAGGCGCATTCCTTCCAAGCTCTTCAAATCCAAATGGCGAACAACACTTGTCTCGACAAGTCATAGAGTTGACGAGCGCCCTTGCACAACAGACAACCTTGGTGAATCAACTTTTGCAACGCATCGGAATCCAACGTGCCCCGGACGAGGTATCCCGAAGTAGGATAAGGGCAGACAGACATTTCCAGCAGCGTCCCGGCAAGCAGCCACGAGCCGAACGTTTGGGCAGTGTACATTCCAGTCTTAGCGCGTGGAGGAGCATGCACTCTCGACTAGGCCCACAGATGAGCATACATTCACAGTTGGGGTCATACTCCGATAGTCAACATGAGCAACCTTCCGGGAAAAGTGTCCATTCGCGGCTAAGCCCATAAGAAGCATCTTTCACCTCACATCAGAGTAGGCAGCACGACGGACAGAGAGAAGCAGTCACTCAATCCAGCTTAAGTTCAACCAGCAGCCTGCGAAGAACTTGCTCGCCTGCTAGAAACACACCACATACATTGCATCCGCGGCATAGACGAGCCAAACACATGGAAGAGCAGCCTAGACCAGTAAGTCATGGCTGGGGGCAGTCGAGAGCTCCGCTACCCCAATAAAGGCAAATTCAGGAAGAAGTAGAGAGACTCTTGACCAAGCGATTGCATGATTTCCAACGCAACGAGGTCATCGATGAGGCACTACGACGGAACATGACCAATATAAGTAGGTCACCCTTCACGGATGAGATCGAGCAGGCAGAGCCTCCATGTGAGTTCAGCATGCCACATTTCACATCTTTCAAATGAGATGAAGACCTGGAGAGACACTTAAAGCGCTACTGAAGCGCAATGATCCTTTATCGAAACAATGATGATCTCATGTGCAAGATATTCGCCACCACTCTACAAGGCGAGGCGCAAGATTGGTTCTACACCCTGCCGCCACAATCCATCCGGAATTTCTACGAACTTTCTTTGGTTTTCACCAAAGAATATTCATCCTATCGCTCGATTAAAAAGAAGTCTGACCGTTTGTTCGACGTCAAGAAGAACCCAAAGGAGTCGCTTCGCTACTATGTGAGGAGGTTCAAAGTAGAGAAGGCAAAAATAGTCGGATGCAACGACTCAATAGCTAGAGCAGCCTTCCAAAAAGGACTTCCAGTAGACCACCCGCTATTCGAAAAATTGATCATGAAAGAAGATCTAACTCTAGCATACTCTTTTGCTTTGGCAGAGAAGCATGCACTTTGGGATGAGGCTCGCCAATGCACATTCAAGGACTTGAGGAGGTACCCGACATCACATTCCTAGAAGCAGCAGAGGACTTATTCGCATGTTTGACGGTATTTAAAGTAGCAATAAGCTCTACCATCATGCGAGAAGAGCTGGGGGCTCGACTACATGTATTCTACAGTTCAAAAGCTTTCCTCGATGCTATTAAAAATTCAAAAGCTAACTTTTGCGATAATTGTTGTAACCTAAAAGCTTAAGTTTTACCTGCAAACACAAGTAGTCATCATCGTGACGCACTATTTTGCTGAATCCAAACCGACGACGATAAAGGCGTAGACCCTAGCAGATGCAAAGTTTTCTGACTAACGCAACAACTCGGCCCAACGATGCCCCGAAGGCAGCCGAGCACACTTTAGCCACACCTGCTCCCTCAGTGGAGATTTCTGACGTTTGCATGTCGACGGCGCATCCAACTACGAAGGCTCGTGAGCAGCCGTGGTTCTTGCCACCCGAGACGTTTCAATGCTCAAGCAGGCGATCACTCTAAGCTTCAAAACATCAAACAACAAAGCAGAGTACAAAGCCCCACTAGCAGGCTTTCGAATGACAAAAGACTTGGTGGTGAAAAAGCTTTTAATTCATTCCGAAGTCCTAGCTAATCACCAGCCAGACTACTAGGGGCAAAGGCATAATGATCGTGGCAACCGACTACTTCACCAATAAGAAAAGAAAATGGCCAGACGAACTCCAAGGATGTCTATGGGCATATCGTACAACCAAAAGACGAGCAACCGAAAGGAGATGACCACAAGCTTAGATCTGGCAGAAGAGAGGCGCGCACAGACTATCATTCGCATCGCAGCCTACCAGCATCAGCTCATCTCCAGCTACAACAAAAGGGCCAAGATCCGGCAGTTCCAGCCTGGAGAATTGGTCATAAGAAAAACCTTCATCACTGCCAGCAGAAAAGGCTCCAAAAATATGAATCCTATCTGGGAAAGTCCGTACAAGATCAGCATAGTAGGTGGCAAGAACAATTACACCCTCGCCACCATAAAACGACAAAAAGATCGAAAAACAGTGGAAAGCCTACAATCTGAGGAAGTACCATGGGTGACCTCTTGCTACATTAAAGCCCGAAGACTCAAGCAGCTCGACGGGCACTACCTCACCAACCGAGGATTATCCAGTTGTTATGCAGTTCTTACCTTACATCTAAGTTCTCGTTTGTTTAACTCATTTTTCAATGAGGAATTCAGAAGTAATCACGACTTGGCTTGGCTGCATGCTTACAACAACTGATCACTTATGCACTTCAAAAGAAGACCGCGCCCTTCTTAGGGATTTACCGCAGGAATTGCCCCCCCCCCCCCGAGGGACCAACCATGCTCTCCAGTGCGAGAGGGTAAACTAATTGCTCTCCAACGCGATAGGGTAAACCAATTCCCCGACACCCACATGGGTCAGCTCTCCAAGAACAGGAGGATAAACTCTACACTCCGAATATCCAGACGTGGATGAGCTGGGCTGCCCTAGTATAACTAGATGCACGATGGCTTGCGCCGGGATTCCTAGAAGTAGCCGCAATGGTCTTTTTTAAGGCTTAGCTAACTGAAGGATTTTGGGTCTTTTGGCCTAATCCGTGGGGAACCGGGCCCTAGAGACGGAGAGGGCACATTACGCAGTACATTCGATGGATGGCTGCCCTGGAATCCTAAAGCTGCTACCGAGTGCACTAAGGTAGCCTACGGATTTCGTAAGACTGCCTACGGTTTGCCCTTCGAACAGTAAAACTGTTCTAGACTTTTACAACCGCACATTCTTGTGAAAGGTTAAACAAGCTAGCACACATATATGAAGTTTTATCCACTGCCGACATGCTACGTAGTCGATAAGCTTCACCTCTGCCAAGCGCAGAACAACCTACACCAAGTCCTAAAGTGTTGTGATACTTGTTACGCAACCTACGGAATTGGAGAAACTCAAGGTTAACAGCCTAGTGGTTATGCGGACTTGTCTGCTTCTGTAAGTAAGGCATCCGGCTGCCAACCCAATGGCTAACAACTTTGCAAAGTTCTATACCAACACCTACGGCTGCATAGGCTACGCGAGCTTGTCTGCTTATAAAAAAGTAGCATGCTTGCCACTGGTCTATCAAGTCTAAAGGTTAGGGCATGAACAAAAGAAGCAAAAATGAAGAAAAGCTAAGGAAAACATGTTTATAAACAACTAGTAAAGGCCAAATGAGTTCAAGCAAAATAAAAGCTACAAGGAAAAACAAAGAAAATCTTAAAGGCTACCTAGATGACTACACTTTAGCAACCTGGACATCCCACGACTATTCGGTCGCCACACCTTCAGCAGCCGTGAAGCTCTTAGCAGCGGCATCATCCCCGACTGCTCCAGCCTGGGCACCAACTTCTCCAACTACTTCACCAATACCAACATGGACGCGCTGCAGCTCATCCACTTCTTTCTTCAAACTTTCGTTGATCTTCAGTACACCTTGAAGTTCCAACACTTGGGGTTCAAGCTTATCGACGATTCTCTTGAAGTGGATCACTTGATTATAAGCAGCAATCAACTTTTCATCCTTTGCATAAGCAGCGAAAAAAGTCTTTGGTTTTTTCTCAGCCGGCATCTCTTGAGCAGGCAGGGAAGATCCCTTTTTCCACCTTCACTTGCAGCAGGATCCACAACGGTGATTAGACGAGCCAATGCATCCGCCTTAATCCTATTCACCTCTTATTTTGGAGCAGCCTACGTTTCTCCTGACGAAGAGAGTTAAAGTAGCCAACGCCATTCGTGGTACCCAGCAGGGGAGTTCAACCCAACATTCCAGCAGCTCATGAGGCCTACAACCTTTTCATTTCTCTCAATCACCTACCTAGCTCGCGTCATGTCCAAAAGCCCAAAAAGACATGAGCCATGTGACTCGCCTAGCACTGCGCCACAGCGCCCGTGGCCCCAGCCATACAAGCTGCCCTTGGTTCTAGCCAAGTCGAGCAGCTTAAAGCAGTGGTCCCTGCCACAATACCTCCTTGGCCCATGCCAGCCGACGTGCCGTACCACCCCGACGGCTGCCCCGAGGTAGCACCATCTAAGAAGAAGAGAAGGAAAATTAATTTTTTCTTACCTCAGTGCGGCACGAAAAAGACGAAGAAAGCAACGAAAGACGGTCCTTTGCACGGGCAAGATGTAGAAAATTGCTAGAGGAGGGGGAACAAATATCCTCTAAGCTATCTCTCTCTTGTAAGCTATCTCTCTCTTGTAGGGTAGAATAAATCGCTCTCCAAAGTTGATTTAATAACCCACTTAAGGTGGACTTAAATAGGCTTTGAGAGAAATTTATTTCTCTTTCCTAGAAGAATCTAATTTCCTATTAAAGAGAGAATCTACATCAAAATAGGAAGCAATCCTAAGTTTCCTAAAGCAAAAAGATCTCTACACATGCTGCCCTTTCTGCGAACAGCCCAACAGGTGTGGGGGCATTTGTGGAGCCAAAAATATTCACAAGGCGACATGTGGATTTTTGACAAAAGAAGACAAAACTACCCTTGGGGCATACCGGGATTCCTACACGCAAGCAGCGGGCAATTATCTCTCAACCAAGTCAAAAGTGCCCAAAATATGTATCAACTTAAAACCTAATTTATTCATATATTTCCTATTTCATTATTTAGCTAATCAATTAGATAAATACTATACTTATTCCATAATTCCTAAAACATTCCTTCTAAAATAATGATAAATAGCTAATTAATGGGTTAATTAGCTAATTATTCCCTTAATTAGCATTTAGACCTTTCACTTTACCCTAACTCTCACAAAAGGGCCGGCTATCCCCATTTCAAAACCTCATCCATCACCTTTTCTACCATTTTTCACCATTTATTCCTTTTTATTAGCCAATAAATTCCATAACCACAAAAGCATTTCCTTTTATGTTTAATTAGCCAATTAATTGGCTAATTAAACCAAAACAAAACCTAAAACCCTACTAAGTGGCCAGCCATCCTTTCCTCTCCTATAAATTGGTTATCATTTTCACCAAACACTAATTCCAACACTTTGGCAAAAATCCCAAAATTCTCTAAACACTATTTCTCTCTAAATTCTAACTTTGGCATCAGAGGTTCTTCGGCCAAAGCCCCCCCATTCATCGTGGGCGCTTGAGGCTCTTGACCTAAACCTAAGGTGTTAATTGTTTTGTAGGTGCAAAATTGTCCAAGATCAAGGAGAAGAAATTTGCATCCACACAGGTGGTAATTACCAAGTTGAGGACAATATCGATGTTGTTGGAAGTGGGCCGTATGGCCTGTCTCTCTGATAATTCTACTGTATCAAGAAATGTACACAAATATGAACAAAAAAAATATCTCAAACCCTTAATAATCCGATGTGAAATAATGTGGTAGGATGACCTTCAACTGCCAAAATATGATATTAGTTGCTCACATTATCACATCATATTCATAATTCATGAATGCTTCTTCATGTCGCAAACCAATAATATTCAAAGTTTCACATTCATGGGCCGTATGGTATAAATGCAAATAAAAGGGTAGTTTCGATAATGCAGCAAAACACAAGGCCAGTTATGACACTTTATTTCATGGGGGCATTACTAATATTTCTCTATTTTATATATGAGTGCTACTACCTCCACCCTAATGTCTTATTTTCCCACCCCAATTTTTATTAAATTTTTAATGACTAATTTATCATCTCATAAAATGACATATAAGGACATGCAAAAAGGCAATGCTTTCGTTTCAGTCTCCTTCGAGCTCTCTCAGTCATTTCTGAAACTCCAACCTCCATATTAATGGACAATGCAATTGTGATCAAGGTTATGAAACGGACTGGATCCTGTGGACAGGTGACTCAAGTGAAGGTCAAGTTTCTATTACTTTGTGTCGGTGAATGGCGAGGAGAGAGGAAGGGGATGAGGTATTTGGAGGGAAGGCGATTATTACGGATTGAGATGCCATTGCAGCTGCCACTGCCAAACCCACTAGGCGGTGCTAGGAGGTGGTATCTTTGATTGAGATTGGGATTTGATTTGGATTTGGAGGGTGGACAAGTCCATTGGCAACCAGTTTTGATTCCATTTTTGGTACTTCGTTTCTTGCATTGCCTTCGCCTACATTTGCTTCTGTGGCTCTGGGCACTTGGGCACTAGCCAAGCAGCAGAGCATGCAAATTGCAATGGAAGTGCAAAGTATGTGTATGATTGTATCAAAAGTGACGGGTGAGCTCGGCTTTTGCCTTTCTATTTTGTTTCAAAATTATTTCATATTTGGAAATTCAAAGAATTGAAAATAGAATGGAGGACATGTTACTGGAAGTCTGAAGGAAATCAAGCATTGATATGATAGTATATGGTTTTTAAGCGATCAGTAATGATGGGATATGAGGCCATTGAGCAGGGTGTTGGGGGTAAGGGCACTTTGGGAATAATAGTGGGCAGAAAAATAGTATGGTTTTCTTTTTACTTTTTTTGGTAGGTGGGAATATAAGATGGGTGGGAAGATAAAATATTTGGGTGAGTATAACACATATTGTTTTTTTTTTTAATTCAAAAGTATAAACACAAATCTCTTTAGCTTTTCAATTAATTCAACCCCTCTCTGGTATTTCCCCTTTAGAAATTAATAATTGCAAAACAAAGAGACATACGATATTGCGTATAAAATAGTGTTTGACAAAAATATCTAAAGAGGGGATGAGGAGGGGTTCTTACTGCTAACAATTCCCTTAAAAATGGTGCGGCAATCATAAGAGAGAAGGGCGCAAGTGGGGCTTTCCTATGGGAAAATGCACGCTGTCACATGGCCATGCCATATTTTACCTTCCAGAGTTACCACAAACCTTACTTTTTCCAGGAAAATTTTCATTTTCTAGGAAAAGTTTTCATTTTCTGTATCTTGAGAGATCATTCCGTTACTGATTTTCTCTACACATAATCTTGATTTGTCTACTTGGTTTAGAGCAGTTTTAGTTCATTTGGCTTACTACATTACTTGCCGTTGAGGGTGTACTTGCTAAATCAGTTATAATACAACATTAGCTTACTACATTACTTGCCATTGAGGGTTTACTTTGCTAAATCAGTTAGAATGGCCATCTCATCAGTTTAAGCACAGATGCTATCAAACAAGCTTTGATGTGGATTCCATTCTTTTTCCCTCCATCTGGTTCTCCACTATTTTTTTCTCATGACTCATCAACAAGAGAAACGTGAACCAATTATTCCAACCAAAGAAAGTTGTTTTGTTAGGAGATTACTTCATTAATTTAAGTTATTCTTTATGGTCATGTCCCTCTATAAGTTATATTCCTTCCCTTCTTATATGTATAGTTCTCACAACTTCATCTCCTTAAAGCTTTCAGACCCTATTACTCTCTCTCTCTCTCTCTCTCTCTCTCTGAATTAAGCTTGAAGAATCCCCAGAGCTCCCCATTACCTACACGGTGATTTTCTTTAAGCGTTTAGCTTGGTCATATCGAGTGAATTCACGATTAGTATTGTCGACAGAGCTGAGTTGTCCCTGTTGAGTAATTCCCAAGTCTCCTATTCTTCGTCTCCTCGAGACCCTCGGTACACCTGTATCACACACACACGAACTTCTGACCAAATAATTTTCATAACTCTACTCTTCACAAATCAGACACAAAGTTTGTATACCAACAGAAAATTAGTAATTTTTCCTGTGTCCTGTGTATTTGCAGAAGTTGAGAGATAATTAAGCAGGATGGCTTCTGCCCAGGGCAAAGAAAAGCCAGCAGCCATAAAGTTTCAGAAGAGCTACTTTGATGTGTTGGGGTTGTGCTGCTCATCAGAAGTTCCTCTGATAGAGAATATCCTCAAGCCTCTTGAAGGTGTGAAAGACGTTTCAGTGATTGTGCCTTCCAGAACTGTCATTGTTGTCCATGATAGCCTTCTCATTTCCCAGCTTCAAATCGGTAATATATTCTCTTAAATAATTTTACACCAGTGAATATTAGTATTTCCCCTTAATTCTCTAATATTTTTGTTAAAAATTGGTTATTTTTTTCTTAATAGTTGCACAACAGAAAGTAAATAGTTTTGGGAAAAAGAAAAAAAAAAGAACGATAGCAGTAGGTGGACGTGTACTTTTTCTGTTTGTGGGAGAATTATTATTCGGCATATCGCGTACCATTATGAACCGAAAAGATGGAACCGGATCCTCTCCTGATCCATATATATATATATATATATATATATATATATATTGAGTTTGCTGAGCAAGCGATTTGGATCATTGAAATTTAATTCATTGACTACAACTATTATAATTGTTAGAGGATTCTCTGTTTGTACCATTATGAACCAAAAAGATGGAATCGGATCCTCTCATGATCCATATATATATTGAGCCCGCTGAGCAGGCGATCTGGACCATTGAAATTTAATTCAACAGCTATAACTATTATAATTTTTAGAGGGTCTTCTGTTTGTAACCGTTAGATTAAGTTTCGACAGTCCGGATCGTCTGCTTAGCAGACTCAGTATATATGGATCCGGAAACGATCCGGTTCCAAAAAGATAGAGACGTGCATGCCTTATATGTTTTTCTTTACCCAACTTTCACGTACGATTTTGCTTTCCTTTTCACCACCCACTATAATATACTTAAAAATAGCTTTCAGTTGTGGCTAATTCGTTTTTCACCTTACACTATATAATACTAAAGAGAGATTATATTCATACACTCCAAATTACTTCTCTCACACCTTTTTAATTTTTTAATATTTTCTACACATCACTAACACTTGATAGAAAAATATTAAAAAATTAAAAAGATGTGGAAGAAGTAATTTGGAGTGTGTGAATATAATCTCTCATTACTAAATAGTTTTACACCCCTTTGGTGTGAATCTTGAGACTCCTTGACTATGAGGAAAAGCACATTAGTTTTCTTAAAATAAAAAAGCTCAAGCTATTTATTCGAAAATAAAATAAAGTATGCTCAGTCCATTTAGTCGGCCTCTCACACACTCTTTTATCTTAATACAAATGCACAAGTTTTCCAAACTCCATTATTACTTATAAGGATAAAGTTCTTTTGATTTGCCCCATCAGATAACATTTAGAAACATTGAAAATTGAAGGAAAATTAATACGACAGCAAACTCACATGAATGGATATCGAAAAACTGATAGGGCAACATAAACAAATTTATTTTTCCTTGAGGAAATTGCCCTTTTGATCTGTTATTTCATGGACAGTTAAGGCACTAAACCAAGCAAGGCTAGAAGCAAATGTGAGAGTGTATGGGGCAGGGGACATTTACAAGAAAACGTGGCCAAGTCCATATGCAATTGGTAGTGGCGTGTTACTGGTTCTATCATTTCTCAAGTACGCATATCGGCCATTAGGGTGGTTGGCCCTTGGAGCCGTGGCCGTTGGCATTTTCCCCGTTGCTTTGAAACGTTTTGCGTCTATTCGGAATTTCAGGTTTCATGACATCAACATTCTTGTTATCATTGCCGGTGAGTCAATACTTGGTCTTAATCATTGCGTTAATTATATGAAATTATCATATAAACATTGAAGTACACTGTACACATGACTGTCAGTCAATCATCTATCACGAGAATAATACTTAATGTGAAACAATCATCTCTCCCACTTTAAAGTTACTCATCAAATTATATTTTCTACACTCCAAAATTTTAGTACCACTTATCTACTCATTTCTTTGTCAGCTACTTTATAAAAATGATTGCAAAAATTAGCTATAAAAAATTATAAGTAAAATGTTGTATTAAATAAATCTAGGCCGTCTTGTTCTTATTGCAAATTGGATTAGTTTTGGTCGCTAAATTGTGATTGTTCTTTGTATCGTTATATATTGTAGAACCTTAACGGTTTATCCTTTTGTTTTGTTTTTCTCCGTCGCAAGGATGTTTAAGAAAAAGATTTTGTTTTGTTTTTCTCCGTCGCAAGGATGTTTAAGAAAAAGACTTTACCGAGGCCTTTTGTGATAAAATCTCATACCTGACGGATTGTGCAGGTGGTAATTACCAAGTTGGGGACAATATCGGTGTTGTTGGAAGTGGACCGTATGGCCCGTCTCTCTGATAATTCTACCGTATCAAGAAATGTACACAAATATGAACAAAAAAAAATATCTCAAACCCTTAATAATCCGATGTGAAATAATGTGGTAGGATGACCTTCAACTGCCAAAATATGATATTAGTTGCTCACATTATAACATCATATTCATAATTCATGGAATATGATTTATATCCGATTAATTAAATAATGTTTAGGACCAAAGAAAAGCTATCATTTGCCCCATTATATATGTTTGTATCATACTTAGGGCTTCCGTATTTAGACATCGTAAAAATACTCGGGGGACTCAAGTGTAATTATGTAATAAATGGAGGGGCAAATATGTAATAAGTGAGGAGCCCTTATTCTATAAAAAGCCTCCTCATCCCCAGAGGCCTCAGTCTCACCCTCAGAGGCCAATTCCTAGGCCATGAGGATCCTCACACTCTCTCCCTCACAATCCTCTCAGAAATACAATAATCAGTGTGGACGTAGCCCAAAACATTGGGGTGAACCACGATACATATTGTGTTATTTACGTTTCTTGCAGATTCACAGTCGGATTTACGTTGTTCCAAGACCTCCGGTTTTGTGCATCAACAATATATATAACATCATATTCATAATTCATTCATGCTTCTTCATGTCACACACCAATAATATTCAAAGTTTCACATTCATGGGCCATATGGTATAAATGCAAATAAAAGGGTAGTTTCGATAATGCAGCAAAACACAAGGGCAGTTACGACACTTTATTTCATGGGGGCATTGCTAATATTTCTCTATTTTATATATGAGTGCTACTACACCCACCCTAATGTCTTATTTTCCCACCCCAATTTTTATTAAATTTTTAATGACTAATTTATCCTCTCATAAAATGACATATAAGGACATGCAAAAAGGCAATGCTTCTGTTTCAGTCTCCTTCGAGCCCTCTCAGTCATTTCTGAAACTCCAACCTCCATATTAATGGACAATACAATTGTGATCAAGGTTATGAAACGGACTGGATCATGTGGACAGGTGACTCAAGTGAAGGTCAAGTTTCTATTACTTTGTGTCGGTGAATGGCGAGGAGAGAGGAAGGGGATGAGGCATTTGGAGGGAATGCGATTATTGCGGATTGAGATGCCATTGCAGCTGCCACTGCCAAACCCACTAGGCGATGCTAGGAGGTGGTATCTTTGAATGGGATTGGAATTTGATTTGGATTTGGAGGGTGGACAAATCCATTGGCAACCAGTTTTGATTCCATTTTTGGTACTTCGTTTCTTGCCTTGCCTTGGCCTACATTTGCTTCTGTGGCTCTGGGCACTTGGGCACTAGCCAAGCAGCAGAGCATGCAAATTGCAATGGAAGTGCAAAGTACGTGTATGATTGTATCAAAAGTGACGGGTGAGCTCGGCTTTTGCCTTTCTATTTTGTTTCAAAATTATTTCATATTTGGAAATTCAAAGAATTGAAAATAGAATGGAGGACATGTTACTGGAAGTCTGGAAGGAAATCAAGCATTTATATGATAGTATATGGGGTTTTTAAGCGATCAGTAATGATGGGATATGAGGCCATTGAGCAGGGTGTTGGGGGTAAGGGCACTTTGGGAATAACAGTGGGTGGAATAATAGTATGGTTTTCTTTTTACTTTTCTTGGTAGGTGGGAATATAAGATGGGTGGGAAGATAAGACATTGGGGTGGGTATAACACATATTGTTTTTTTTTTTTAATTCAAAAGTATAAACACAATTCTCTTTAGCTTTTCAATCAATTCAACCCCTCTCTGGTATTTCCCCTTTAGAAATTAATAATTGCAAAGCAAAGACATACGATATTGCGTATAAAATAGTGTTTGACAAAAATATCAAAAGAGGGGATGAGGAGGGGTTCTTACTGCTAACAATTCCCTTAAAAATGGTGCGGCAATCATAAGAGAGAAGGGCGCAAGTGGGACTTTCCTATGGGAAAATGCACGCTGTCATGGCCATGCCATATTTTCCCTTCCAGAGTTACCACAAACCTTACTTTTTCCAGGAAAATTTTCATTTTCTAGGAAAAGTTTTCATTCACCCACCAGTGTTTGGCAGCAGCTTCTGTATCTTGAGAGATCATTCCGTTACTGATTTTCTCTACACATAATCTTGATTTGTCTACTTGGTTTAGAGCAGTTTTAGTTCATTTGGCTTACTACATTACTTGCCGTTGAGGGTGTACTTGCTAAATCAGTTATAATACAACATTAGCTTACTACATTACTTGCGGTTGAGGGTTTACTTTGCTAAATCAGTTAGAATGGCCATCTCATCAGTTTAAGCACAGATGCTATACAAGCTTTGATGTGGATTCCATTCTTTTTCCCTCCATCTGGTTCTCCACTATTTGTGTCTCGTGACTCATCAACAAGAGAAACGTGAACCAATTATTCCAACCAAAGAAAGTGGTTTTGTTAGGAGATTACTTCATTAATTTAAGTTATTCTTTATGTACATGTCCCTCTATAAGTTATAATCCTTCCTTCTTATATGTATAGTTCTCACAACTTCATCTACTTAAAGCTTTCAGACCCTATTACTCTCTCTCTCTCTCTCTCTCTCTCTCTCTCTCTCTCTCTCTCTCTGAATTAAGCTTGAAGAATCCCCAGAGCTCCCCATTACCTACACAGTGATTTTCTTTAAGCGTTTAGCTTGGTCATATCGAGTGAATTCACGATTAGTATTGTCGACAGAGCTGAGTTGCCCCTGTTGAGTGATTCCCAAGTCTCCTATTCTTCATCTCCTCGGGACCCTCGGTACACCTGTATCACACACACACGAACTTCTGACCAAATGATTTTCATAACTCTACTCTTCACAAATCAGACACAAAGTTTGTACACCAACAGAAAATTAGTAATTTTTCCTGTGTCCTATGTATTTGCAGAAGTTGAGAGATAATTAAGCAGGATAGCTTCTGCCCAGGGCAAAGAAAAGCCAGCAGCCATAAAGTTTCAGAAGAGCTACTTTGATGTGTTGGGGTTGTGCTGCTCATCAGAAGTTCCTCTGATAGATAATATCCTCAAGCCTCTTGAAGGTGTGAAAGAGGTTTCAGTGATTGTGCCTTCCAGAACTGTCATTGTTGTCCATGATAGCCTTCATTTCCCAGCTTCAAATCGGTAATATATTCTCCTACATAATTTTACACCAGTTAATATTAGTATTTCCCCTTAATTCTCTAATATTTTTGCTAAAAATTGGATTTTTTTTTTCTTAATAGTTGCACAACAGAAAGCAAATAGTTTTGGAAAAAGAAAAAAAAAAGAACGATAGCAGTAGGTGGGCGTGTACTTTTTCTGTTGTGGGAGAATTATTAATCGGCATATCGTGTACCATTATGAACCAAAAAGATGGAACCGGATCCTCTTCTGATATATATATATATATATATATTGAGCTTACTGAGCAGGCGATCTGAACTGTTGAAATTTAATTCAATGATTACAATTATTTTAATTTTTAGAGGGCGTTTGTACCATTATGAACCAAAAAGATGGAACTGGATCCTCTTATGATCCATATATATATTGAGTCTGCTGAGCAGGCAATCTGGACTGTTGAAATTTAATTCAACAGCTACAACTATTATGATTTTTAGAGGGCTCTCTATTTGTAGCTGTTGGATCAAATTTCAACGGTCCGGATCTCCTGCTCAGCAGACTCAGTATATATGGATCCGGAAAGGATCCGGTTCCCAAAAAGATAGAGATGTGCATGCCTTGCATGTTTTACTTTACCCAACTTTCACGTACTATTTTGCTTTCCTTTTCATCACCCACTATAATATACTTAAAAATAGCTTTCAGTTGTGGCTAATTCGTTGTACGTTTCACCTTACACTATATAATACTTAATAGTTTTACACCCCTTTGGTGTGAATCTTGAGACTCCTTGACTATGAGGAAAAGGACATTAGTTTTCTTAAAATAAAAAAGTTCAAGCTATTTATTCGAAAATAAAATAAAGTATGCTCAGTGCATTTAGCCGGCCTCTCACACACTCTTTTATCTTAATACAAATGCACAAGTTTTTCAATCTCCGTTATTACTTATAAGGATAAAGTTCTTTTGTTTTGCCCCATCAGATAACATTTAGAAACATTGAAAATTGAAGGAAAATTAATACGACAGCAAACTCACATGAATTGATATCGAAAAACTGATAGGGCAACATAAACAAATTTATTTTTCCTTGAGGAAATTGCCCTTTTGATCTGTTATTTTATGGACAGTTAAGGCACTAAACCAAGCAAGGCTAGAAGCAAATGTGAGAGTGTATGGGGCAGGGGACATTTACAAGAAAACGTGGCCAAGTCCATATGCAATTGGCAGTGGCGTGTTACTGGTTATCATTTCTCAAGTACGCATATCGGCCATTAGGGTGGTTGGCCCTTGGAGCCGTGGCCGTTGGCATTTTCCCCGTTGCTTTGAAATGTTTTGCGTCTATTCGGAATTTCAGGTTTCATGACATCAACATTCTTGTTATCATTGCCGGTGAGTCAATACTTGGTCTTAATCATTGCGTTAGTTATAGGAAATTATCATATAAACATTGAAGTACATTGTACACATGACTGTCAGTCAATCATCTATCACGAGAATAATACTTAATGTAATACAATCATCTTTCCCCACTTTAAAGTTACTCGTCAAATTATATTTTCTACACACCATAATTTTGGTACCACTTATCTACTCATATTTCTTTGTCAGCTACTTTATAAAAATGATTACAAAAATTAGCTATAAAAAATTATAAGTAAAATGTCGTATTAAATAAATCTAGGCCGTCTTGTTCTTATTGCAAATTGGATTTATCCTTTTGTTTTGTTTTTCTCCGTTGCAAGGATGTTTAAGAAAAAGACTTTGCCGGCCTTCATACCGAATAACCTTAACGGTTGATCCTTTTGTTTTGTTTTTTCTCTGAAAAAAATTGCAACACATCACGTTTCCTTAGAAAGTTTGAATAGATACAGGTTGGTTTCTGTGTAGAAGTTCAAAAGCTACCGTTAGACATACTTTATGATTTTTTACGATACACAGAAATGACTCAACGTCTTTGGCTTCTTGCAAGTTTGAGTGGGTATGTATGGGTGCGTTAGATTAAAAGTTTGGATTGCTATTAGGTGAATTTGAACCACATTATTGGTAGTTTATTATGGGATTAAGTCTACACTCTTCTTTAATGTGGATAATATAAGTTGTTAATAAAAAAAAAGGGTATTCTGCATCGGTTTCCCTCAAATGATATACTTTTGGGAGAAATGCAATGGCTAGATTGTTTTGACACTTGAAAAACTTAGAGTTCATTTGGTATCTTATTTGAGAACCTTTTTTTTTTTTTTAAACTCATGTTTTGATTTAAAATTTTTAAATCAAAAACCATTTTTGGTGTACAACTTCTCAAACTATCAAAAACAAAAAATTCGAACACCTTTTGTATATATTTTGAAGTTGTGGTTTTGAGAATTGGGATCCACACCGCACTAAACACCAAACAACAATTTAACATTGGGATTCAAAACTTGTTTTTAAGTTAAAAATTCGATCCAAATCTGCCTTAAAATCTTTAGTTTTTTTTTCAGAGTTCATAACTCTACCCATTCGAGGCTTTTTCAAGTAATGCTGGAGGGGTTCCTATTTCCGAGCATTACTCGAATCCTCTTATAGCATATTCTGCATTTTTGTACTTTCACATCTCTTCTTAGATTTAAAAACTTTTCTATTTAGATTAGGTTTTATAAATTTTTAGTACACCATAAAGTCTAATTCCATTGGCCCTAGCTCATTATTGGCCGGCTTCCCAATTTTTGGTGGAGGGTGCTATTGGGTCATCATTTCGTGAACCGTATGTCGATTATAGTCTCAATGGATTCTATTAACGCAACATCTCTCTCGTCATGTTTTATGGTTGCCATGTAATATAAAATAAATGGTTCTTCAATTTAATTGAGAGAGACATTGAAATAATAAATAAATAAATAAATATAGCACTTAAGTGAAAGAACCAAAAACTACAAATTTAAAAAAAAAAAATCTACTGAATTACGAGTTCAGTTGGAGTTGGAAATGTATTTTCAGAACTCTATTGCAATACTGCACACATGATACAGAAGTTACTTATTTGCGCATGTTTGTATATTTATGTAAATCCATTTAGTGTAACTTTTGACAGTAATTGGGACAATTGCTTTGAAGGACTATACAGAAGCTGCCTCGATTGTCTTTCTGTTCACCATTGCAGAGTGGCTCCAGTCTTCTGCAGGTTACAGGGTTAGCATAAAACACTCATCCTTCTTTTTTATGAAAAATTTAAGAACTAGTCTCATTGAATTAAACAAAATACAAGTAACGATAAGTGGCCGAAAAACATAGCAGTTGATTTTGGAACAACAAATTTTGCTGAAGACAGTTTTGTACATAATTTTGTGATAAACCACATACTAATCAATGCTTTAAAAGACGAAGGTGAAGCCCCTCCTAAGCGAAAGCCTTGAGATTGAGGCGATTCATGGGACCTATAATTATTAATATATAGTCTAGTTGGAAGGTATGTCATATGGTCTTGTTGAACTTGAACTTAGAGGGTATGTCATGAAGTCTAGTTGAAATTGAACTTTGGCTTTTTTTTCTTTAAAAAAAAAAGAAAAAGAAAAAAAAAGCCCAATCGAACGCTGCAGCCGCCTAGGCATGCCTCGATCACATCTAGGTGAGTTTAAGCCTATTCCCGCTGGGCAGAGGCATTTTCATCACCGCCCTGTCTCCAAAGTTGCCTAGGTGCGCCTCAAGGCTCGTTTTTCAAAACACTAATACTAATACTAAAATGTTGTTTAAAGGATTAATGAATGACTTGCTAATGTATATCATAAACAGTCAGACACATAGAATAACATGTTGTTGTTGAGAGTTGTCCCACATCGTTGAGGGACAAGGTTTGCTATGTGCTTATATGATCTTGGGCTACTCCTCATATTGCCAATTGGTTTTATGGTGGAACCCCAATTTCATCATGGTATTAGAGCAAGGTTGTCCACGTGTAAAGCCCAACGGCCACACGCGCTCCACATCACCCAGTTGTTGTCCACGTGTAGGCTTGAAAATCCGCCACACGTGCGGGGGCGTGTTGAGAGTTGTCCCACATCGGTGAGGGACAAGGTTTGCTATGTGCTTATGATCTTGGGCTACTCCCCATATTGCCAATTGGTTTTATGGTGGAACCTCAATTTCATCAGCTTTTATCTACTCAGGCAAAAGCAGTGATGTCGTCGTTGATGAGCATGGCGCCCCAAAAAGCAGTCTTAGCAGAGAGTGGAGAAGTTGTGGATGTTGATGAGGTTAAGTTGAACACAATTCTTGCTGTTAAGGCTGGCGAAACTATACCGATTGATGGAATAGTTGTTGAAGGAAAAGCTGAAGTGGATGAGAAAACACTAACTGGAGAATCCTTTCCAGTTGCCAAAGAAAAGGACTCCACTGTTTGGGCAGGCACTATCAATCTTAATGGTAACATAAATGTCGTTCCCGTCATTCTTTGATTTTGAATAAAGAGTTATGTTTTTATTTCTGACAAAATTTGGTTTCAATTGTGAAGGTTATATTAGCGTGAAAACTACATCATTGGCTGAAGATTGTGCGGTCGCCAAAATGGCAAAACTCATCGAAGAGGCTCAAAACAGCAAATCCAGAACTCAAAGATTCATTGACAAATGTGCAATGTTCTATACCCCAGGTTAGTCTACTTTCCCCATACATTTCATATGTTTCACTATTCCTTACTACCAACGAGAATGCAGACGGTTGGATTTGTTTTGTGGTGCTGTTTTGCAGCGGTCCTGGTCATTTCTGTTTCTATCGCGGTGATTCCAGCTGCATTACATGTTCACAATTGGAGCAAGTGGTTTCACTTAGCTTTGGTTGTTTTAGTGAGCGCTTGTCCGTGCGGTCTCATCCTCTCTACACCCGTTGTGACTTTCTGCACGCTCACAAAAGCGGCAACATCTGGACTTCTGATCAAGGGAGGTGACTACATTGAGATTCTTGCTAAAGTCAAGATCATGGCTTTTGACAAAACTGGTACAATAACAAGGGGTGAATTTGTGGTGATGGATTTTCAATCTCTTCGTGATGACATTAGCTTGAACACATTGCTTTACTGGTATAGACTGCAACTCCTCTATTCAGCAACATGTTGAATGAAACACACAAAAATTTTGATGGAAAGAAAAAATTTACTTCATGAAATTCAGAAAGAGGCTTTTAGTTTAAAGACAAATTTAAGGCTGTTTTAATGCTGCATTATTCTCCGAAAGCGTTTCCTATTATTTCACTAAGTTTGCAGTTCGTTGATTTCTCTATTAATCTTCATGAAGGGTTTCAAGCATTGAGAGGAAGTCAAGTCATCCAATGGCAGATGCGCTGGTTGACTATGGAAGATTGTTTTCGGTCGAGCCAAACCCTGAGAATGTGGAGGAGTTTCAAAATTTTCCCGGCGAAGGTATTCATGGGAAAATTGATGGACAAGATATCTACATTGGAAACAGAAAAATAGCTTTGAGAGCTGCTTGTGAAATAGGTAAATGCCATCAACTCCTGTATCTTCGAAGCCATTTCGAATGATTTCAAGGATTATGATTCATTTTCTTTTTGTTTATGGTCTTTTTGGATCTCTCATCGTTAAATCTTTTTGAAATTTCAGTTCCAACAATTGAAGGTTCGAAAGGTGGGAAGACGATTGGATACATATACTCTGGGGGAGCCCCTGCTGGAGTCTTTACAATATCTGATGCTTGTCGATCTGGGGCTGCAGAGGCTGTCAAGGAGCTAAAGAAGTTAGGCATTAAAACAGCTATGCTCACAGGAGATAGTAATGCTGCCGCATTGCATACAAATGAGCAGGTGTGTTATTCTTAATATCTTAGCCTCATATCGCTATGCTTAAATCTGCACGCGCAGCGCACACCATGCGCTCCACTCTGCACTCGCTTTTATTGATTCAATGTATGATCTTCCCTGGCATACATGGCTGTAGAACTGCATATGTATTTTCTTTGCAGATTAAGAAAGAAAAAAAGAACAAATAAGAGTAGAAAATTTATCTGACTTGCAGCTTAAGCAAGCTCTCGAGGTAGTCCAGGCAGAACTTCTACCTGAAGACAAGGCAAGAATCATTAAAGAATTTAAAATGGAAGGAAACACAGCAATGGTTGGAGACGGGATCAATGATGCCGCTGCTTTAGCTACAGCCGATGTTGGTATCTCAATGGGCATTTCAGGATCAGCCCTTGCTCAAGAAACTGGGAATATAATTTTACTGTCAAATGACATTAGGAAACTACCGAAAGCAGTCCAACTTGCGAGAAGAGCTAAAAGAAAAGTGATTGAGAATGTGGCTTTGTCCATCACTACTAAGGCGAGTATCCTTGCACTGGGATTTGCAGGGCATCCGCTTGTTTGGGCTGCTGTTCTTGCTGATGTCGGTGTTAGATTAAACTCATCAAAATATAAGTGAAGAGATTAAGCTCATGAACCACAAATTTATATAAGTATTAAAATCACAATTTAATAAACACAATGACAAACTAACCCGTAAAAGCAGCAGAAGAAGAAGCCAAAGTAGACTTCTAAACAGTGCACCTTCTCCTCTCTTGCAAAACCAAAAGTACTCAAACTAACAATAGGTCTTAGTTCAATATTGAGCATATGTTTTGTGAGAGCAGTGGCTTATGTTTTTATACTAAACATAGATTGCCCTATTACAATCCTACAAGGAATACAAGACCAAATCCTTGTATAAGTATGAGTTCTATTCTCGAGCCAACAATAGAGTTTCAATCCAAACCAAAGTTGAATTAACTCTTATAAACACATTAAGACCTCTTTGTACCAATCTAAAATAACAATGATTATTACTAAACTGTAAGAATCACACTCATACTCTAACAGTCGGGACATGCATGCTTGTGATATTCAACAGCATGCTACTCTTACAAGGAACCAACAAGCATGGAGGGAAAACTTCTGCACCGCATGGCCATAAACATGGAAGCCATGGACATAGCCATTCTCACAAAAACCAACATTGTTGCTCGGACAGCAAACCCGTAAAAGCCTGTAAACCTCAAAAGTGTTCCTCGCAGAAATGCGGATCAGAGTGCCATCCTAGTGTCACGGGCCGCATGTTAAAAACAAAGAAAATGCCCAAGACATCATATATCTAAGCCCATGAAGCCATGTCTTCATGGAAGCTTCTGGAACGTCCCGGAGAAATCAAGAACGTGGCGGAGCATTCAAGATAATCTAGGGCATTCCGGAACATTCCACACAAGTGTACATATTTAAGCCTCACCTAGAATAATCTAGATTAGGCAAGTTGTATCTAGAATTATGCTAGATATTTTTTGATGTAAGTAGGGGATTCTAGAACCCTCCATTGAGGAGGTGACTTAGGCCTATAAATAGGAGGTAAGGCCATTTGGCCAAACCATCCAAGAATCGTAAGCAATTGTAAAGTTCTCCTAAGTTCAATACAAAGCTTCCTTTCTCCCATCTTCTAAGTGATTTTAGCATTCTCCAAGCTATCTTAGCTTTCTTTGTGATTCGATCCGGGGAAGCGAGGCTTCGAAGGCTTACTTAGCTTGTTCATCGAGGTATTCAAGTCTAAGTGCCGCACGGGCGGAAGGCTTAAAGAGTCATCCCGTGACAGCTGGTATCAGAGCCAAGCTCGTGAATCACTTGAAGGAAAGTAGGATATGGCAAGTGGAGAGATGGTGTCCGGAGTCTCCGATCTAAGGGGGCGTACTGCCGAAGTCCAAGACGTTGCCAAGAGCAAGCCAAAGTTAAAGGACTTGCAAGCATCGATGGAGACCATGGAAGAGCGACTCGAGAAGGTGGAACGAACCATACTCGAGTTCGATACTCGACTTGATGAGGACGTTGTCGACAAGGAGGAAATCCAAACCATGGTGGACAATGGTAAGGATGAATTGCGTGGCTTGGTGGAAGGGCTACGAGATGAGCTCCTTGGCGCTCTCAACACCATGGCAGACAAGATGCGGAGGGAAGTCCAGGTTCACCTTGACAACATAGAGGCAAGGTTTGTGGCGCTTCAAGAAGAGATAAAGGACACAAGGGAACTTAAGGGAGATGTGGCGTTTTGTAAAGAAGCAGTCGTGAAGCAATTCGTGCAAGGGTCGAGGGAAATCAAGGCGTTGGACTCCAAGGTAATCGACTCCTTTAAACCCAAATCCTATAATGGGAAGAGGGAAGCAAAGGAGCTCGACACATTCGTGTGGAACGTGGAGCGATACTTCAAGTACCTGAAGCTTGAAGATGACGAGTCCAAAATCTCAACGGCAACCATGTTCTTAGCTGACAATGCCCTTATGTGGTGGCGTCGTCGGAGCATGGAGATTGAGCAAGGTACATTCGCTCTCACCACTTGGGATGAATTTAAGAAAGATCTTATGTTGCACTTCTATCCCCAAAATGCCAAGTACGAAGCCAGGGAGAAACTAAGGTGGCTCAAGCAAACGGGGAGCGTCAAAGACTATGTCAACGCCTTCGTGAGCTTGTTATTCGAGGTGCCCAACATGTTAGAGGAAGACAAGCTCATGTACTTCATGAGTGGACTGCAAAATTGGGCAAAACTCGAACTACAAAGGAGACACGTGCAAACATTGTCTGATGCCATTGCCGCCGCCGAATCCTTGATTGAGTTTAAATCAAGCCACCAAGGTGATTCCAAGTCCACGGGGAAGAGGGGTAACCATGAGAGAAGTGGGGGAGAACACAAGCCGAAGGACAAGGCCGAGACAAGCAAACCGAAGGAGAAGAAAGCCGATAAGCATGACAAAGGCAAGGGTAAGTCTTGGCAACCCACTTGTTACCTATGCGACGGCCCTCACATGATGCGAGATTGCCCACAAAAGAAGGCCCTTAAGGCCATGGCCTTCAAGGAGGACAAGGCCGAGGAGAGTAACGATGCAACGATGGGATGCATCCGTCTACTGAATGCCATCCAGACAACCCTCCCACAACCTAAGGCTCAAGTTGGGGGAGGATCATTGTTCGTCGATGTCAAGACTGGTGACAAGACGACGCGTGTGTTGGTGGACACGGGAGCAACACACAACTTCATGACGTCGGAGGAAGCCACAAGGCTTGGCCTTCGAGTCACCAAAGAGCCCGGTAGCGTGAAGACGGTAAATTCCGCTGCCACCCCCATTGTTGGAGTTGCGCGCAATGTACACGTAGACATTGGCACATGGAAGGGAACAATCGACTTCACCGTAGTCAAGATGGACGACTATGGCGTAGTCATTGGGTTAGAGTTCATGGACAAGGTACGAGCCTTTCCCATTCCCTTCTACAATATTTTCTGTATCCTAGCCGACGGAAGACAACCTTGCCTGGTGCCATTGGAAAGGCAAGCCAAGAAGTGTACCCAGCACTTGTCGGCAATTCAATTTGCCAAGTCTTGGAAGAAAGGCGAGGCCACATTTCTTGCAACCCTAATGTTGAATGAAGGGGAGGAGAAGCACGGGCCTTTGCCGAAACAAGTGGAAGACGTCCTTGTGGAGTTTGCGGACGTGATGCCTAAGGAACTGCCAAAGAAGTTGCCACCAAGGAGAGAGGTCGACCATGCGATTGAGTTGGAGCCTGGTGCTAAGCCTCCCTCCAAATCACCTTATAGGATGTCGCCACCCGAGTTGGAGGAATTGAGGAAGCAACTCAACGAGCTGCTTGATGCTGGCTACATCCAACCTTCCAAATCCCCATATGGTGCACCCGTCTTGTTCCAACGCAAGAAAGAAGGTAGCCTAAGGTTGTGCATCGACTATAGAGCATTGAACAAGATTACCATCAAGAACAAGTACCCACTTCCGTTGATCGCCGACTTATTCGATCAACTTGGTGAAGCAAGGTACTTCACAAAGTTAGATCTTTCGATCGGGATACTACCAAGTGAGGATAGCCCCTGGAGACGAATCGAAGACGGCGATGGTGACCAGATATGGAGCGTTCGAGTATAAAGTCATGCCATTTGGTCTAACCAATGCCCCCGCAACATTCTGCACATTGATGAACAAGGTATTCCATCCTTATCTTGACAAGTTTTGTCGTGGTTTACATTGATGATATCGTTATCTATAGCAAGACATTGGAGGAGCACGTCAAGCACTTGCGCATAGTGTTCAAGACCCTTCGGGAGCATGAACTCTATGTCAAGAAGGAGAAATGCTCCTTTGCCACGAAAGAAGTAGAATTTCTTGGCCACAAGATAAAGGAGGGGAAACTTATGATGGAAAAGGGCAAGATCAAGGCCATTCAAGAGTGGGAACCGCCGACCAAGGTACCAACACTACGATCCTTTCTGGGGCTAGCCAACTACTATCGGAGATTCATTAAAGGGTATTCAGCCATAGCAGCACCCTTAACAGACCTTCTTAAGAAGAACAAGGCATGGGAATGGACGGACCGATGTCAAGAGGCCTTTGAGAGGTTGAAGAAGGCCCTAATGGAGGAGCCTGTACTCAGGTTGCCCGATCTTAGTAAGCCATTCGAGTTGCACACTGATGCTTCCGACTTTGCCATAGGAGGAGTGTTGATGCAAGAGGGACATCCAATAGCCTATGAAAGTCGCAAGCTAAACAATGCCGAGAAAAGGTACACGACCCATGAAAAGGAGATGACCGCCATCGTCCATTGCCTTAGAGTTTGGAGGCATTACTTGCTTGGTACCCCATTCATCATCAAGACGGACAACGTTGCCACTAGCTACTTTCAAACCCAACAAAAGCTCACACCTAAGCAAGCAAGGTGGCAAGAGTTCTTAGCGGAGTTTGATTACAAGCTAGAGTACAAGCAAGGAAAGGAGAACGTGGTGGCCGATGCTCTAAGTAGACGAGTAGAGTTAATGGCTACGGTACTCAAGCCGCAAAGCCATCTCTTGGGCCGTGTCCGAGAAGGTTTATCACATGACGTCCAAGCCAAGAACATTGTGGAGTTTGTCAAGGATGGGAAGACAAGAAGGTTTTGGCTTGAGGACAGCTTGCTATACACCAAAGGCAAGCGGATCTATGTCCCAAAGTGGGGAAGCTTAAGGAAAGAAATCCTTAAGGAGTGCCATGACTCAATGTGGGCAGGACATCCTGGCACTCACCGCACGTTGGCTTTGGTGAGCGATGCTTATTATTGGCCACAAATGCGGGATGATGTAGATTCATACGTGAAGACTTGTCTTGTGTGCCAACAAGACAAAGTGGAACAAAGGCAACCGGGAGGACTGTTGGAACCACTTCCCACCCCATCAAGACCATGGGAGTGTTTGACCATGGATTTCATCACACATTTGCCCAAGTCTGATGGATGTGGATCTATCTTCGTCGTGGTCGATAGATTCACCAAGTATGCCACTTTCATACCCGCACCTGTGGAGTGCACAGCCGAAGTAGCTGCACGCTTGTTTCTAAAGCACGTGGTGAAGTATTGGGGTGTTCCGAGGAGCATAGTCAGTGATCGAGATGCTCGCTTCACGGGTAGATTTTGGAAGGAGCTCTTTCAAACTACTTGGCTCGAAGTTAGACTTCTCCACAGCTTTTCATCCCCAAAACTGATGGACAAACGGAGCGGGTTAATGCATTGTTGGAGACTTATTTGCGGCACTATGTTAGTGCCAATCAACGAGATTGGGCTAAGTTACTTGATGTTGCCCAATTCTCTTATAACTTGCAACGTTCGGAGTCGACGGGGAAAAGTCCGTTCGAGTTGGCTATAGGGCAACAACCCTTGACCCCCGAACACGGTCGTGACTGGCTACACGGGGAATAGTCCAGCCGCTTTCAAAACCGCTAAGGAGTGGCAATTAGCCCATGAACTTGCTCGAGCTCATTTGGAGAAGGCTTCAAAGAAGATGAAGAAATGGGCGGATCGCAAGCGAAGGAATGTGGAGTTCCAAACTGGCGACCAAGTCTTTGTGAAGCTCAATGCGTCTCAGCACAAGAGTACTCGTGGCTTGCATAAGAGCTTGTTGCGGAAATATGAGGGACCATTCCCTATCATCAAGAAGGTTGGCAAAGCCGCGTATGTTGTGGAACTCCCACCCCGCCTCAAGTTTCACCCGGTGTTCCATGTGAGCAACTTGAAGCATTATCATGCGGACGATGAAGAACCAAGTCGAGGTGAGTCTCATCGAGCACCCCCTTTGATGACGGAGGCATTTGACAAAGAAGTGGAGAGCATTGAAGCTAAGCGTGTCGTGGTGCGACCAAGACAACCAAAGCATGTGGAGTACTTTGTCAAATGGAAGGGGCTACCATACTCCGAAGCAACCTGGGAGAAGGAGACGTCCTTATGGCAATATAAGGACTTGATTCAGACATTCGAGAGGCAAGAGTCGACGAGGACGTCGACGGCTTAAGTGGGGGAGGATGTCACGGGCCGCATGTTAAAAAAACAAAGAAAATGCCCAAGACATCATATATCTAAGCCCATGAAGCCATGTCTTCATGGAAGCTTCTGGAACGTCCCGGAGAAATCAAGAACGTGGCGGAGCATTCAAGATAATCTAGGGCATTCCGGAACATTCCACACAAGTGTACATATTTAAGCCTCACCTAGAATAATCTAGATTAGGCAAGTTGTATCTAGAATTATGCTAGATATTTTTTGATGTAAGTAGGGGATTCTAGAACCCTCCATTGAGGAGGTGACTTAGGCCTATAAATAGGAGGTAAGGCCATTTGGCCAAACCATCCAAGAATCGTAAGCAATTGTAAAGTTCTCCTAAGTTCAATACAAAGCTTCCTTTCTCCCATCTTCTAAGTGATTTTAGCATTCTCCAAGCTATCTTAGCTTTCTTTGTGATTCGATCCGGGGAAGCGAGGCTTCGAAGGCTTACTTAGCTTGTTCATCGAGGTATTCAAGTCTAAGTGCCGCACGGGCGGAAGGCTTAAAGAGTCATCCCGTGACACTAGTCCCTTAAATTCAAGCTTGCCCTGTAAGCTTAAGTGCAGTGATGACTTACACGAGGCACGACACTGTGATGAAACAAGCTGCATCAAAGTCAGTCATGATCTCGAGTCACAGAATAAACACAATCATGGTTGTTTGAGTCACCATAATTTGAGCTCATGCGCAGAAGGTGATAAACTTCACGAGGCAAAACACTGCAATCATTCCGCTTCTTCTTTGGTGGAAATTCAAAAGTTGACAAGTAAAGGTCATTGCCACACGACCCACTGCGGCAAAGAGCACAGCAGATATGAAGGTGATGGAGTCCATGAGGAAAAACACTGCAATTATTCTGCTTTTGCTTTGCACGAAAGCGAAAAGTTGACAAGTAGTGTTCATTGCCACTCAAGCCACTGTGGAAAGGAGCATGTTAGAAAGGAAGGTGATGCAATCCATGAGCCAAAACACTGCAACCATTCTACTTTTTCCTTGGAGGAAAGCAGAAAGTTGACAAGTACTGGTCATTGCCACTCAACTCAATGTGGCGAAGACCATATTCACAATGAATCGTTAGGAGAAACGTTTGCCACAAGATGTGATCTTCAGCACCACCATAATCAAGATAAACAATCACCCCCTCATCATACGACGACTGATGTTGTAGTGGGTTGCGACCACACAGAATCAGCCGCAACGAATTCTTGCATTGGCTCCCGGACAGCGGAAAAGGAAGCATGTTGCTCGGAATTAGTAGCAATTCATGCTTGTGTGTTGGAGAAAAGAGAAGTCGGTGGGTGCTGCAAAAGCTACATGAAGGAATGCTGTGGTGGTCATTGGCATATCGGTTCTAGCTTTCAGGGTTGTTTATCAGAAATCACAATTGAATAGATGTAACTGACTGAAAATAAGTGTACATATATACATATATATATATATATATATATATTATATACGTGCTTTATATATATTTGTGAAATTATCTTCAACTCCATACTGCATGAAAATATCTTCAAAAAACAAACAAAAGTACAAGCATTATATCACTTCCTCTTCCTCATCATCAAATTCAAAATGCCACTTTTTTTCGAATTTTCGGCAGGATTACCAACACTTTCGAGGGACGAGGGTATTGATCCAGCGGAAACGCCTTCAAACCTTTTTGAGTATGTTATTTTCCTATCATCCGTTTTATACGATGACGTGGTTGAACTTGAATATATTTGACGTGATGCTTTTAATGTAACTCCATTTGAACGTCTTTGAGCTTCAGAAGTACCTCAAATCAAGAATTTGAACATTATTATTAATAGTACCCTTCGTATGGTGGACAAGTTTGTTTTTGTTAAAATGCATGAAATAAACATGTTGGAATAATGGTGAAATTAGGCTACTCAACTTTCTTGTTCAAAGTTAGGCAAGTTAGGTTAATCAAGCAAGATATGTAAGTTAGGCAAAATTAGGCTTATGATCTTTTTCTTCCCTATATATGTTTCATCTTGTAATTGTTTCATCAAGCAAATATACATCAAAATTCAATATGGTATCAGAGCTGTGATCTGGGAAAAACCACAAAATACAACTCTAAAGCAGCCACGAGGTCAACCATTCTAGGCATGGCCTCTCATTCAAAATGGGAAAATCCCAACCACCCGCTCTATCTCCACCACTCGGATCAACCTGGTGCAATCCTCGTACCACAACCATTGGTGGAAGACAACTACAACACATGGGTTCAATCCATGAGTATGGCCTTAACGGTCAAGAACAAACTTGGTTTTGTTGATGGAACGATCAACAAACCAAGTGAGGATAATTTTGAGAAGCTGCAGCAATGGAATCGCTGCAACAACTTGGTCAAGACATGGCTACTAGGCTCCATGTCAAAGGAGATTTCAGGGAGTGTCATCAACTACAAGGATGCTCGACAAATGTGGACAGATCTGCAGGAGAGGTTCTCACATGTGAATATAGTTCAGCTGTTCCATGTTGAGAACGAGATCCATGATTGCGTCCAAAGCAATATGAGTGTAAGTTCTTACTTCACTAAACTTAAAAGTTTATGGGATGAACGTGATACTTTGTGTTCCATTCCAGCATGCAGTTGTGGAACAAAGAATGAGATGAACTCATATGTTGAAACTCAGAAAACCATGAAGTTCCTTATGGGACTGAACGAATCGTATGCTACGGTTCGAAGCAATACTCTTCTTCTCGAACCACTGCCTACGGTGAACAAGGCATATGCGTTGGTCCTTCGACATGAACGCTAGGCAGAGGTTTCCAATGGGAAAAGCACACAACTAGAAACTGTTGTCTTTGCAGTGAAGAATCTATCGCGAGAACCTACACCTGAAGACAAGGAGATGCGATGTGGAAAGTGCAATAAAACCAATCACATCACCAAAAATTGTCGTGCACATCTCAAGTGCACTTTTTGCGGATGGAAAGGCCACACCTTCGATTTCTGTCGAAAACGGAAAGCAGCCACAGAGACCGAATCCAATCGTCTCTTTTCTTCAAAGGGGAATCAAGTTTCACAAAGTAACAAGCAAGAGACAGTGCCTAATTTCCCGTTCTCTCAGGAGGACTGCAAGCAAATCCTTCAAATGTTGAACAAGAACAAATCATCATTTGCCAATCAAGTCAGTAATCTTCCTAGTCATAAAGAACTTTCAGGTAAAGCCTTCTCTTTTCCATGTAAAGGAACCAAAAGTATTTGGATCCTGGACAGTGGTGCCACGGATCACATAGTTTGCAGTCCTAGTCTCCTTACACACTCACGAGCTGTTGAAAATCATACAGTTGAACTGCCAAATGGTTCCGTTGCCAAAGTCACTCACATTGGACAAGTTGTTTTCTCTCATAATCTTATCCTTGAAAATGTCCTATGTGTGCCGTTCTTTAGGTTGAATTTAATATCTATCAGTAAACTAGCCTATGATTCCTTATATGTCACCATTTTCTTCACCCAATTTTTGTGTCATTCAGGACCTTCGCTCGGGGAAGATGATTGGGACAGGAACTGAAAGGGATGGACTTTACTACCTCGACCCATCAAAGAAAGGAACATGCAACAATATTCAAACCGTCTCACCAAAGCTTTGGCACCAACGCCTAGGACACCCATCTCATAAAGTCACTTCGTTATTACCTTTATTTAACAATAAGGCTTGTGATTTGGAAAAATGTTTAATTTGCCCATTGGCCAAACAAACAAGATCACCCTTTCCTTTGAGCTCTATTTCTACCAAATCATGTTTTGAATTATTGCTTATTGATATTTGGGGTGGTTATCAAGTTGCTTCTATTTCAGGTGCCAAGTATTTCCTTACCATCGTAGATGACTACACTAGAAGCACTTGGGTTTATTTGATGAAACATAAATCTGAAACAAAGACATTTTAGTCGGATTCATTCAAATGATTGAGACTCAATTTAATACCAGAGTTCAAATCATACGAAGTGACAATGGCCCTGAGTTTAAGCTTGAGCAATTTTATGCTCTCAAAGGCATCATACATCAATCTAGTTGTGTCAACACACCACAACAAAATGGTGTTGCCGAACGTAAACACCGGCATTTGCTCAACGTTGCTCGGGCTTTGCTCTTTCAAGCTTGTTTGCCAAAACGTTTTTGGGGGGATGCAATCTTAACCTCAGCCTACCTCATCAACAGAACACCCACTCCACTTCTCCAAGGTAAAACACCTTACGAAAAACTGTTTCACAAAGCACCTAACTATTCCCATTTAAAGGTTTTCGGTAGTTTATGTTTTGCTTCTACACACGCCCAAAGGCCCTCTAAATTCAACCCCCGTGCAATCCAATGCATTTTTCTTGGGTATCCTTATGGTCAAAAGGGTTATAAATTGTTTGATATAAAACACAATAAGACTTTTGTTTCTAGGGATGTTGTTTTTTTTTTAAGATCATTTTCCATTCCAAAATCATACCACTTCCGCTGCCCCGTCTCCATCAAACATTACACCCTCACCCATCACGTTTGACTTGACCTCTCCCATTGAGTCGCACTCAAGCCTTGCACCCGAAGAAATAAACATCACCTCTCCCACACTTGCCGACATCACACCACTCTCATCTCCTTTACCTACTACAACTCCACCACCAGATACCTTATCAACACCTTCACATACCCTACACTCTTCACCACCTCTAACAACTCCATCACCAGACCAACCACCTCCACTCCGTCGTAGCACTCGACCGACCAAAACTTCCACATTTTTGCAGGACTTTCATGTTGAGGTGGCCCTCCCTTCCCGTGTTGCTCCCACATCTTCCACAAGCATGGTCCAGTCATCAGAACCCACCAGTTTTTCGCAAGCTGTTCAGGATCCAAAATGGCATGACGCCATGCAAAAAGAGATTGTTGCCCTTCATGACAATCGCACTTGGACTCTTGTGCCCTTACCACCTCACAAACATCCCATCGGTTGCAAATGGATC